TAACAGAAGGAAGAGATTTTATTCGTCATTTCAATATAAGAGTCCCTGGAAATGACGGAGGATTACTTCCATTTGTGACGCAAAACGGCATGTCCTGCTACAACTGATATGACTCTACGTGTGATAACGTAACTAAATTAATTTAATAATTGAGACCAGTATAACATAATTGAAATCGGGGAAATATACTTTAAGTATGGATGTCTGCATTTTATATACGACGGACAGCAATCTCTTCAGTTTGGCGTTGCATACTCAGTTTATTATACTCAAGAGGGGTGATGTATTTGGGATTTCAGGTCTTTTATCAATGATGTAAATGTAATTTAAGTCCAACGATTTACCCACTCAAATATTTGATAATTTATGCAGCCAGGTACTGTTCATGGCTCAAATAATACTTCGAGGAGATATATAAAAAATGTTATTCTTTCCGATTAATGAATAAACACGTTACTGTCACTAATCACCATCTTTTTTTGTTCAATGGTTTAATCTTTTATTACGTCTTTTCAAAGAATGTCACTGGAAATGACGTTCACTTTTGTCCGTCTGCCTAGAAGTTTATAAGCGGATAATCAGGCAATATAATTGATGGCATACACCAATTTACAATATAAAATGTAGTCCTCAAATCATCTAATAAGTTATGTAATTATAATGATATGACAATGGAAAATTGTACTTAAAATTTGTGTGTAAAGTTAACGACATCTACTGCGCTGGTATAGGTGGAATCGTGTCGAGACAGTGTGCATTACCCACAAACACAAAAGTGGAAATCACTTAAAAATTTCTGGACCTGTTCGGGTTTTGCGTGTTGAGTCAATATGATCGGTTACTTATCTGATTTCCACCGTATTGACATACTTATTATTATTTGCGTAATAATATTAATAATTTATTTGAATAAATTTAATGAAAAAAGGTGTGGCAAATTGTACATTGGTAGGATGTACTTTTTACGCAATTGCTAGCAATGGAAATGACTTTGATTTACAACTATTAGCGACACAAAATGGATTGACCTTTATCTAAAGCAATCGATATTTAATTATGTATATTAAATAATGAAAATCTGCTAATTGTGATAATAAAGTTTAAATACTCAGATTTCTAATTTTTATGTCATTCGATTTTCATAACAGCAAAGTTGCGAGCTGTTTAAATTGCTGGAGATTTAATAACCCGTCCAAACGTGAAATGCAAGAGGTTAAACTAAAAATATAATTTTCGCTGAACTAAAAATTAAAAAACTTTAATAATGTTTACTTTCGTCGACAAATTGGGTAATCTAATTATTATATAATTCTAAACTCAAAGCAGAATGCTAATCAAATCCCACTTAATCAGGAAATGCCGGACCTGCTTACATGCTTTAGTTTAATTCTGTTTTAAAAAATATATGTTTTATTTTGAAATTTTTCAATACTTTTTGTGGCTTTTGATTTCTATAATTGTGAGCTCATTTTTCAATTGCGTACGTGCTTGATTTCCTAAAAAAACGCTCACACGTTGCACATAGTTAATTATAATTTAGTGCAAAAGCGCTAATTAGGCATTTTATGTACAGAGTGTATTGAAAATGGCTTTTTGTCTTGTTTATAATTGATCATTGATTATCACACTCAGGGTGAAGTGATGGATTTGGGGTTTGAGATTTTCATCGATACCAACATGCTTAAATGCGACGCTTTTACCACTAGGTCGTTGGGCCCATTTTTATTTACTTGTTTGGCCACGGTTCATCACTCATTTATTAATTCTGGAGAAATAAAATGATTTATTCTTTCCGACTTTTTTAATTTTTTTCAGCAAAGTCGGTGACTGTCACTAATCATCATCTTTTTCTTTTAATGGCACAATCTTTTATTACGTCTTTTCTAAGAATGTCAATGGACATGACGTTCTCTTTTGTCAATCTGTCTAGAAGTTTATGAGCGGATAATCAGGCAATATAATTATTGCCACACACCAATTTACAATATAAAACGTAGGAAATAATTCATCTAATAAGTTATGTAATTATAATAATATGACAATGGAAAAGTGTACTAAAGTTTGTGTGTAAAGTTAACGACATCTTCTGACATTCGTGTCAAGACAGTGTGCATTAAATACATACACAGGGAGAAATTCACTTAAGAATTTCTGGCTACTGCACTAGTTGTGGCTGATTCGTTCGAAGAATTACCCGTGTGTATTACCCACAAACACAAAGGGGGAGGGGGGGGGGGGGGGGGGTAACATAAAATCAATATGATCGTTTACTTATCTGATTTCGACAACAATGGCATATTTATTATTTATTCGTGCATTAGTATAAATGAATTAAATATAACGAATTGAATGGAAAGTAGAATATACTTTTTACGCAATGCCAGCACTGGAAATGACGTTGGTTTACAACTATTAGCGACACAAAATGAATTGACCTTTATCTAAAGCAATCCGATATTCAATTACATATATTAAATGTTGAAAATCTGCTAATTTGTGTTAATAATGATAGAGTACTCATATTTCTAATTTTTATGTCATTCGATTTCCATAGCAGCAACGTTGTGTGGGCTGTTTGAATTTTCGATGAATTAACCCGACCAAACCTGAAATGCAAGTAGTCCCCGGAAAATAAAATTTTCGCTAATGACAAACTTCGAACTAGAAATTAAAATAACTGTAATCATTTTACATTCGTCGACAGACTGGGTAATCAAAATAGTTTTATGATTATGAACTCAAAGCCGAACGCTGATCGAAATCCCACTTAATCAAGAAATGCCAGACCTACTTACATGATATAGTTTAATTCTATTTTGAGAAAATATTTGTGTGTTATCTTGTAATTTTTTAATACTCTTCGTGTCTTTCGATTGCTATGAAGCGTGAACTCATGCGTGCGGGCTTCAATTCCGGAAAAAAAATACGTTAGTGCAGAAGCGTTAATTAGGTATTTTATGTACAAAGTTTAATGAAAATGACTTCTTGTCTTGGTTATCATTGACCCAAAAGTCAATGACCAAGCTGCCAGCCATTAATCAAAATTGTAATTGTTGCAACCCTTCAATTTCAACATATATTATGGTTTTTAAGCTATCTGACAACTCATGTAATTAAAACACAATGACAATGGAAAATATGTAATTACAATTACCAAAACTAGATGTAAGTTTAACTACAATTTTACATTAGTATATTAATTTCTACTAGTATTAGAAAAAGATACACTACTTTTTTACTAGAAAAAAATCTAAAAATTAAGATATTGATTTATACTCTCGAATTCTTTTTAATACGACCTAATTTACAACACCATAAAATGATTTTATTTCTGATTATGTTAATTCAAATAATTTCTAATCATTAAAAAATCTTTTCCTACAAATTACTGTTGTTAATTTCTACATAAAAATTACAAAAATTTTAATTTTCTGAAATAAATTTTTAGTTGCGTCAAAAAATGGATAAGGCGCCAAAGTACGTCAAAAATTCGAATAAAATTTGTCGAGAAAAATTTCATTTCAACATTGCGACACAAAATATACCCAATGAATTGTATTTCAAACTTGTATAGGTTGCTGTTTGAATTGCTATTTTTCCATTTTGAAATAGAAATTTATTAAATACAAAATATATTTCATTTTGAGTTGAAATTGATTGAGAGCGATTTACATGTTCTTCTGTATGTTCTCTTTAAAACAATGAATTCGCTCTCAAACTTTAGTTTGTTTGCTCTTGTTGAATTGGATGTTTTTCATTCATGAATCCAATCATTTCAATACGATTTAAGATAAATCTCGGAGTACCCGTTTTGTAACTTTCCAAGCTTCAGTACTTTCTCGTGGCTTCATACCAACCAAAGATTTTCCAAGTTTTAGCTAGAAAATTCCCTTTTAATTGAAGCGATTCTGTATAAAATTAATAAATTGGAAAAATGTGTGCAAACAGTTTCAAACAATTAACAAGTAATAAAGTGTCCAGAAAGCGAATGCGGAACCGCCACTAGGTGCGCAATTTTTCATTTTAATGCCATCTTCACACCAAAGCCCACAAAAATTTTTGAAATAAATAAAATTGCTAGCCTTCTAGCGATAACAATAATCATTAACCACTAAAGATTTTAAAGCAATTAGTCAAGTAGGTAAAGAGGACTTTTGTTTACAACATCATAACAACGAAACGATCCCTGCTCCATTTCGTGTCCAATAATCGATAAAGTGCCACTCAAGCAGTTGAGAAAAAACGCAATGCCGACCAAGCATTTTGTGCCTTTAATGAAAGTTTTCCTCCAATCACATTAACAAAATATTTGCAAATTTGCACATTTTTATAGTTATTGCGGTTTCATTGTATTATGTCTCATTTGAAAAATGTTTCATTGGTATTTAAAACAAATATTCAAGTAAAACGGTTTGATAGAAATTAAACTTCAAATATAATGATTCCAAATAGGGGTGTTTTCAATGCAGGTGCCAAAAATTCTTTACATACGTTACAATTTTCATATTTGTTCAAACTTAATCACGATCAGTGTGGTCGAAAACCACAAAAAACCACAATCATTAAAAGTTGAAACAAAGAAATTTGATGGCAATAAAAACAATGATGATAAAACAATGTCAAATTGTGAAACTCTGAGACTGAGGTAGATTACCTAAATAAAATAAATCTTGGGTGACCTGCGTTACCCGTTCCATTTTTCTTATTGCTTATGTTGTGTCCTGTAAATGATTTTGCACAAATTATACAGTTTAATCATTAGAAATTATTGGAAAATGATATGACCAATCACTAGCGCGCACAACCGTGGGACATTGATTTAATTGACCAATTAGCACGGTATTGACGTACACAATCAAGTTTTAATACAGGGTCTAAATTTCCAATATCAACGACAAACATCTAATAATTATTTTTATGACGCACAAACGTGACAAGGCTGTTAGTATATAAGGGTTCGGGATTTGTATTCAAATCAGTTTCAAATTGACTGATAAATAAGAATATACTAAAAGTTTCTTAATTTTGAATTGAATACGATTTTATTGAAGATGATGAAGAAAATAATTGTTTTTGCGCTCGTTCTGGCGTTATTTGGAATTTGCAATGCTAATTCCCCTTTTGAGGTAAGACAATTTTTTATGTTGTTTTGTTTTTATGCAGTAAATATATAGATATATCTAAATAAGTTAGTGAATGTCTACTAGTTGCAAATTTGGATTTCGTAATCAGATGTATTGTATTTTATTAGGTCTTTACTTTTTAAACTACGCTAACTGTGCAAAATGAAATTTTGGGAACCAAATTGAATTATCTAATATATAATAATTTTTTTACTTGACGTGTGTACTAATTTATCTTTTAGATAGTAGCCAAAGCAGGAAAGCGTCGAGCTCGAAACAAAGGAGGAAAAAAGATAGATGTGTGTGATGCGTAAGTGAAGTTAAATATATACATAAATATCGAATAAATGAGTATGAGCTCGATCTTAGAGTAAATATAAATTTCACTTCATATGCATTAATTGGCAATCATGTTTTTGTATATATCAGATTATTGCTTACTAATCATGTACTTATTTATATCATAAACATTATTGTATTATATTTTTAGAAAACAACAAGACATGTGTACAAAAAATTCCAAGAGTCTCTGGGCGGAATCGAAAAAAGGCGAATGTGCAAAGAGAGAATGTATTTTCAATCCCACAACTGGGGTTACTCAACATCCTCAATCAATGTACTACAGATTTAATCCTAATCTTATCAAAACCTCCTCAAGAAAAATTCTTTATTCTTTCAAAGAAATAAAAGGAGAAGTTTGCTCGTAAGTACCAATAAGTAAATGAATTTTTTATCACATACAAATAGTTGACTTTTTCATATAGTATTTTGATGCATAATACTCTAAGAATATTAAGCTCTTGTGTAAAATATTAAAATTTTATATTACTATTTTGTATTTATTTTTGATGCAATTTCATATCACTTACACATAGTTGACTTTGCCACATAGTACTTTGATGTTGAATACTCTAAGTACATTAAGCTCTCGCTCAAATTATTAAAAGTTTAAAATGTTCATTCATATATTTGTTTTTAATCACATTAAATTTTCTTTTTAGAATAAAAAACCAGCCTTGTTCGTGTCGAAATGAAGAAAAATGTCATTGTGAAAGCGACTCGGCTAAATTCTGCAAGCAGCAGTATAGAATTGAAAGAAATTACTTCATTGTTTATAATTCTGAAGGACTGAGAGTATCAACAGTCTATCAGCAACCACAAGAGCAGCAGCAAACAAACCAATACGGATCTCAGTACACTGGAGGCCAGCAATATCCAAGCAACTTCGAGCAATTCCAACATTATCAACCACAAGCCAGGACCGGAGAAGTTGGACATGTTGATGATGACAGTGACGAAAACAAACCAAAGGCCCAAACTAAAGTTAGATCTGGAGAGATTGGAAACGCTGGCAACGGATACGGTATGGGAGGTGCTGCTCAGTATTACAGTGCTGGACAATCTCATCAATATAATCCTATGATGCAATTCCAAGGACAGCAAGGCTATTATCCGTCAAACCAGCAACAAGCACCATCCTACCCCACCGGAAGCCAAAATTCTCAGTCTGATATGATGAGATTCCAAATGCTGGCACAAAACCTTCAAGCACAAAAGTTTCAAGGTGGATTCCCACAAATGAATGGATACCCTTCATCTGCTTACCCCCAACCACAACAAAACCCACAAGGTTTCTACCCACCGCAGCAAAACTATTATCCTTCCACTCAAGGGGTAGTAGGTACAAACATGGCAGGGCAACCATATGGAGCAGGTGGTCATCCATTCTCACCTCCTATGAATAGCCAACAGTACTATCCTGCACCCCCAGCACCCTCTGCACCAATGGAAGAAAACCAAGAGGAAGACCCAGGACAGGAAAGAAGTTTGGACGATGGTAACACTGAGACATATGATTCATCTTCCACGGAAAATCAACATGACCAGCCTACTCAACAGTACCAGAATACTTACTATTACCCACAGCAGCAGCAACAGCAACAAGGTTACCAATATCCCCAAACTTACATGCCACAAAGCCATATGCCACAAATGCCACAAAATCATATGCCACAGGCACCAATGGGACACGCTCAAGGAGGCATGGCCAGCTCAGCCATGCTCCGGTATCTCATGTTCCAAGGTGGCGCATCGTCTAACGGCAACTCTTTCTTGACGCTTCTTCCATATCTGATGCAAAATCCACATTTCTCTCAGATGATCAGATTTGAAACATTATACATCATGGTAAGTTGGTTAATTTTTATTATTTTGCTATATTAAATAATTTTCCAACGACTTTAATTACAAGTACTCACGACTTTTTCATAATTAGTCTTACACCCCTCATAATTAGTTGAAATAATTTGTTTATGGCCAACCTGTAGTCAATTTAAATTAATGAATGACAATTATGTATAAATTAATGTGTTGGTAAAATATTTTCACATTACTTCTGCTGTGGTACAATTGATTTATCTTTGTTTATTTTGAAAATTTCAGGTACCAGATGGATGCAAATGTCAAAAAGGAGCACCTAATGTTCAGCAAACTAGCACACCACAAAGGCCAAACTTCAATTTTTGGGGACAACCTCAATATCAACAACAATATAGTCCGTATTCAAATTACCCATCATACCAACAAGGATCTCAAGGCTATTCTCAACAACCAAGTTACCCTCAATACCAAGACCCATCAGCAAATCTTTATTCACAAGGCATGCAAAGAAGTTTTGGCGGTATGGGTGGTATGGGAAGTATGTTTTATAATCCATATGCTCAGCCAAATCAACCCACAAGACAAAGATCGCCTCGAACCCCAAGAAAAAGACAGTCAAGAAAAAGAGATAATAAAAAAGATAATAAGGATGACAAAAAGAAGAAAGATGACAAAGACGACAAAAAATCCAGTTCATAGTCGAAAATTTTAATTTTTTTAGTTTTTTATATTCACTGAATTTATCAAAAATACTATATATTTTTGTTTTTCTTTTTTTATATCTCTATACAAAGTAGACATTGTTGAAAATTTCTTTTGTGTCAACTTAAGCTATGTTATAAATATAAACGTGACTTCAAAAACGAAACTATGGGGTCTGCTGGAAACATTTAAATAAATAAGAGAATGTTGGGATAAAATGCAGCATCTACAGTAGACATAGTTTCCAAATGTGTAGCTGTTAGATCAAGTTACTAAGAGTGATAGTAATTACAATAAAGGTCTCCTCTATGCAAAAAGTAGCTATGCTTAAGGATTTTGGGTGACAATAAACTTGATTTCAAATACATTTTCAAATATTAATATGGATAGTTTTATTACTTTTTTTGGTACTCCCGAAGTATGTAAACCAAGATGGCGGACACTGGAACGTAGTATGTGCACCTGGTTAGGGTTTGGCCATAATTTCAGGTACAAATACTACGGGAGTCACTTGGCTATTCCTTGAGTCGTAATAAACCCAAAATAAGGAATATTGGAATAAAATTATTATATGGCCTAACCCCAACCTGGTACACATACTACCAGGTGTCCGCTATTTTGGTTCACATACTTCGGTAGTACTCTTTTTTTTGTTGTCCTCATAGGATGCAAATAATATATTATTATCGACAAATATTTTATAGAATGCAATTACATGAAAATAAATATTTTTTAAAGCTAATCTTGACAATTCACGCTATTCAAAATGCCAATCTTCGGTTTAAATGCTGTCCTGGCGTTATATCGCTAGGGTATCCATAACTTTAACTCTCTTTATAAAATGTTCCTTCTCATGTTTTATTAGCGTGTATTAAAGCATGTTTGCTCTTTATCGAAGGCAATCAAATGAATGGAAAGTTGAGTAAATCAATGAAAAACAGAGTAAAATATTCAAATTCCAAATTTGATTTGTAAATTCTACTATGAAAAAAGCAGAAAGGTATACTATTCATTTACAACGAACTAAAAAGCTGTAGCAGTGCTTTGCCATTTATTTAGTAATGAAAGCGAAACTACACCATATTTTACAACTTTTAAAATTAACGAAATTTCATTTCGGTGCGTTTCAGGGAATAAAAAGGACCACCATAATTCCAATGAAACCAATCAATGCCATCCGCCCATACAGATTTATAATTTCCTCCGTTCCAGTAAATTCCGTTGAGGTTTGAGTGACGACATTCGTTATACCACCAACCGCCCTTGTGACGCAATGCACATTTTGTAAAAGCCGAATCATTGTCTCTGTCTCTTGTAGAAAATTTCTGATTGTTATGCCATGCCATCGAGTCTCCCAACTTACTGTGGCTACTACTAAATCCTCCCACATTAAGCCGGTAACCGACGCATTCGTCACCGATGGAGAATATTCTGAAAAAGTAACATGAAAAATTAGCAAATTTCATAAAACGTGTCAAGTTTAACGAGCCAAAAAGAGATCACATATAATCGGTTGTATCGCTGACATATTTAGCTATGTTTGTTTCTGCTTTGCACGGTGAAACGTTAACTTTGACAATAATCTGATTCGCCCACAAAAAGTAAATCTAAGTATTATTTATAAAAAAAGAATACTAGAGTAATGCAAAAACTACAACAAACTGAGCTGGAACTGAATCGGATAAAATAATTAAAAATCGTAATATAGCCTAGTCGGTACGTCAGATACTTCCATAACAAACTACGCGTCAAAGAATTTATATGATGGGCTGAGGAACGTAGAACGACTATAGGAGAAACCTTAGCCTTGCGTAATATGTGACCCTAATTATTTTTAGATAAAAACAAAGAAGGTCAAGTTATATTACTCACGAATATTTTGCAAAACCTTTTTTTCCTGTCCAATTTTCCAAGTCAATTCTGAGCTCAAAAATTTTACCCTTCATGATGTCTCGCATGACCTCCAATCCTGAAAGTTAAACGAATAATCCTGAGGAAGTTTGTAGAGAGCTATATTGGCGTAAGTCGATTACAGCATAGGCGTAGCCAGGGGGTCTTGAGGGGCCCTGTTCCCTTCGAAAATTTTCAATTTTTTTTTTCAATGCGGCAATTTTACGGCATTTGCAGTAAGACATAAAATCCTACGCTTTTTTCATCTTCATTTTCTTCCATTCTTGAACGGTTCACTAAAAACCGTTTTTTGGTTTGATATCAATAATCTGTTCACCAAATGAACCAAACGAGATAGATGAAAATGCGCGGTTATGCGCCTCAGACAACTTCGACAGCGAAGTAAGTCTGTAGTGCTATTACCCCCTCCAATTTTGGGCTGGCTACGCTCTCAGATCACTATGTCTAAATTTGCCTACTTTTAGTAAAATATGTTTTACACAATATAGCAATAGACCAATAATATAATTTACTTCTGTATCCTATCAAAATCTTTGAACTAACATACAAAACATACCAAGCCAGAATTCTCCTGTTTTGGATCCAAATCCGTATTTGTAGCTACTCCAATTTTTGTAAAAATTAACTGAGCCATCTTGGCGACGTTGAAATACCTTAAAGACATTTAAAGTTATGTTTATCACACGTTAATAAAATATATAAAATATTAAACTATGTAGGTAAACATTGGCCAGAATTTTAAATTTTATTGTTCATCCAGTATTTCAAGATACCAACTTGTATTTTTTTTAAATAATAGCAAATGTAAAACTTCGTAACTTTTCAGAAACATCAATATAGTATAGTATGCTCACGGTCCAGCCTCCTCCATCGGTTGCCATATCGCAATAAACTTGTACTCCAAGTCTTAATCCATCAGGATATAGAGTATACAATCCGCTTGATCCACTAACATCTCGACAACTCTTTGGTCTCCGAGATCCGGAATAAACAAAAGAATATCTGCTTGTGGCTTCGGAGAAAAAAAAATCGGTGTTATTCACCTTCAAATTTTCATTTTCGATATTTTCCTTCTTTCGAGCACTATTTGTTGCAATATTATTCATTTTAAATTTAATTTAGATCCTCCCTTCCATGCACAACCCAAAAAAATATGAATTTACCTCTCGATGCCACAAAACTGCATGCGTAGATGACAAACAGCAAAACTCCGAAAATGTTCATGTTTCCTGTTATTGTCGTCAACGAGATTTGCCGATTTTCGTTATAATCAGTAAGTGCATTGCAGTTAGATTTAAACCTGTCACGTATAAAAATTTCCAGCCCCGGGCATTTTGCAGTAAAAAATAAGCCATTTTTTGTAAGTCTCTTGACGTCAACCACTGTTTTTATGCTGAATATATATTCAAACCAAATTTGTCTGCTAATTCTTTCAACATTTGTATCACGGCAAGAGATGTAATTTTTGAATTTTATTCATTAATTTGCACTCATCCTACTATTTTCAAACCCAGGTCATAAATATTCGATTCTTTAAAGAATTAAACTAATCTGTGAAAAAACAAACCAAAAAAGGCGGATATTCTGAATCTTGATCGAAAAGACAAATGTAATGGCTTTAAAACAATGAGTACCCGTTATAGCCTGCAGCATGTCAGCCTGTCAAATGATTATCCCTCTAAACGAAAACAGTAGTTCTCAAACGGTGGGTAAAAATTTTTTCAGGGGGCGTCAGGCTAAATAGAAATATTCATTTTATTTGATCTTGCCTCCCTCATTTTGGATATGTATTTTTTTTTATTGTTCAGAGATCGCGATTCCATCAACGTATTTTTATCGGGTATTTTGAATAAAACATACTTTCGCCTTACTATTTGTTTTTGCAGCTTGTTGTTCTAACTAGTTATTTTTGAGGTGGCCGCGAAAGTTGACGAATTTTAAAAAGTGGGCGGTTTGAGAACCACTGCTCTACTAAAGTTTTTATTTGTATAATATACCCTGGTATTGTATTTAATATCATCGTCGGGCATAGTTCTTCTGGTATTTCTGTGGCTATACAAAATAGGCACCAGCAATATAGGCGAGTCTGAACGATTTCTCGCGTTCTGATCCTGATGGTGAATATAGTTTGTATCGCGTTTTTGTCATTGCCTCAAAGCTCTTAATGTAGAATTATGTTCACCCAATACCCCATACAAAATCATATTTCTATTAAACACATTTTTATTAATTGGTATACGCACAAGTAATCAGCACTTTTTGAATTACAAACTCCTTGTTAGGATGTTCTGCTCAGCGCACATGCATCCAGCTGGAATCTGGGAAAGAAATTCATAATCAGATTAGTTTTATTGAATAACCAATCGCGGATTATTCCAGTACATTACGTTATTTGGTCTATTCCAAATTGCCGCGTATTGTAAGCTTGAAGTATGACTCATATAGTATTACTTTGTGGGTCGATCGTGTTAATTTTTGAAGATGGATCAAACATAAGCGGTGAATAAACCTAAGGATAAATTAAATAAAACTAATTAAATAATATATTGAAAATATATTAGGTCAGTACCTTTCAAAAAAAAAAATTAAAGCATAAACCATACATGTTAGTATATATATATATAAACAAAAAAAATCTAGAATGTGTACAACACGTTCTATTCAAAAAGCAAGGACTTGCAACATACTTACATTTACTTTAACCGGTTTTTTAACAGACATCCACTTCCCAACTTTCTTCTCACTAATCCAAGCTTTTATCCATGTCTTAACACCCCAGTTTCGACATCTGCATGGAAATATTCCACTGCTGCATCGCTTTATTAGACCATTCCAGTGTTGTTTACTTGAAATAAAATTCAGTAATTTAGGATTTGTTCATGAATTGTATTTATGCTTTTCGGTATTTAAAGCCATTTGAAAATCATTTTTATGTCAAACTTAATGAGTTCACACATACACACACAGTCACACAAACGCACACTCACATAATATATTTTTACATTTCTTACTCGCATTCGCTTCCATTTACTATAAATTCTTTCACAATATTAACTGCTTTTGATTTTCCGTTCTCAGTGAGTATCCCTTTTTTAATATTAAAATAGCATTTTCTCTCTTCGCATTTCGACTTTTTGTCCTTTTGGCATGATTTTGGTCTTTTCGACCTAAAAGGTTATAAATTAACATTTTGATTTTTTAAACTAGAAAAAAATCACGTTTGAAGGCAGGAAAACGTACCATGTCAATCATTTGTTATTTATAAGGCGCCATCAAAAAATATGAAAGAAAAAAAACCTTGACGTTTTATTATACTCCTATACTCTATATATCTTATACTTACGGTAAACTTTTCACAGAACATGGCGGCAGAGATGGAAGCTTTCGAGACGAACCCGTAACGCAAACTGCCGCACACGCAGCAATACACAGCAGCAGAACAATTCTCATTATGCTACGAGCAATAGATCATCGGAATACTTTACCTCATTCGCTTACTTTTATAGACATGAATCAACAAGAAAGGCAAATCACGATGACGTAAGGTATATTCTTGACTATGATTTTTTTTATATATTATAATATGAGAGAATGTATTTTTTTGTATAAAACGCTCTGAGGAAAGCAAAAATAATAATTCAAGGTTAATAAACAATTCGTGTTCTGAAAGGACCTTTCCCTTTTTCCCAATATTTGTTTTTATATTTACCTGATCCTCCATTTTTTTATTCAATTATGTAGACTATTTGTGATTTTAATAAAAATGGCTGCAATTAATTTCAAAAACGATTCATACTGTTATGTTACCGTTTTAATTAGATTTCATTTTTTCATGCCGTTAAATAACAATAGTCTTATTTTTACGATGAGTTTTCCGTAATGAAGTGTTAGCCATTTTCCCACTTATGCGGTCTGAGTATGTTGGAAAAAATATGTAAAACAGTTTAATTTGTTATATCTAGTCCAGTTGACAAATTATATCTAACCTAGTAATCCGCAATTGTTGTTAAATATGTGTAGATCAAACATGATATATTTAACTTAAGACGCACACGTCGTTAGGTACAATATCACGACATTCAAATGTTTTAAATTTATGATTTTTTTTATTTTCTGTTTAGAAAATTGTGAGTTATTCAACACAGACATGCATTGTTAAGCTCGAATCTTTTTTCTAATGACAACTCCTTTAACATGTGATTGAATTGAGCAATTAAATTAATTGCAATTAATAAAGCAGTTTTAATCGTTATTGAACTATATATATAAGTTGGGTAATATTGAAATACACGAGCCATTTCAAGATTCAATTTTTTATGTATTTATTGTCAAAACGTTATTGGGACATTGTTTAGTTTAGACGACAATACAGGTACATATTTCAGTCCGTGTTCATTCCTGATTAGACTTGAAAATTCCAAGTAACGTTATGGACATCTTAATTAATTATCGCTAAAGAAAATTCTAAATGTCATATAGTATCTTGTCCAATGTTGATTTTCTCTCGTATAAATATGCCATACCCCTCCTGAATTATTTTTCTTTGCGCCAATATTTATTCTATCTTATTCAATGTGGTGTCTCATTCTAGCACTTGTATTAACTTGTTAAAATTACTTTCGCACACTGTTTTCAACACAGTGCAAACAGTGTTCAACACAGTGAAGTGTCTAGTTTCATTGCATTCAATATTTTCAAATGCTTATTTTTAAGATATAAGTGTTTAAATAAAAGATGATAATCTTTTCTAATGAAAGGGTGTTAACTAATTCATATCTTAATTGAATTTCATAAATATTCAATTATTTTTACCACATTTTACGCTATGCTTTGTGATCTCTATCCATACATTTCCAAGGATAACCTTTCTTATATAAGATTCCTCCTATTTGATATTATTTTGAACAGCCAGGCTTTAATCGACTTATAATTGGTTTTCCGTTTGACATAGGCAACAATTTTGATGACATTGAAAGAGGAGATTATTTGACTAATTTCCTAGTAATATGGAACTTCTATAATCTATATTATAAAATTTATTTAATAAACCAACGTAATACTTCTTAGTACATTTGCACATGAGTAATTTTTGCGGGTAAACAAATTTCATTTTTGTTTTACCATCATAATGTCAAGTTTTTACATCTCGATATATTTTGTGTTAATTTATTTTTGTGACATATAAGATACATATAAATGGTCAAAATATAAACATAAATTCCTGATTGTTGATCAAGGATTTCATAGAAATGCTTCAATATGAAAAGAAAACTCAACTTCGAAATGCACATATTTGCTTGTATTTGTTTATATTGCTCCAGAAATAATGCCGCTCCAAATAGAAATTAATAATTACGAATAAAAATTTCAATTTCTTTTTTTTATCTTAACTGCTTCATCAGCCATCGAATCTAGTCATCAGGTTCAGTACACGTGCAACCCCCTGGCACCTAAAAAATACAATAAATATTATTTGAAAAAAAAATTATTATTTTTACATTTATACTATATTTTTAATTATTACGGGTGCTAATCAATCGCAACATAACTCGTTCTAATATTTTTTTTCCATTTCCATTCTATATCACCTTTCACTTGAGGCCTACATTACCTAGCTTTATAAATCAAAAATACATGTATAGTCTACACAAACACATATAGAAAAACTTATGGCAATAATAGATAATTACCCTGATGAGAATGTCTGGTTTCAGAACAGATTTTACCCATTTTCCATCGATTTTCATTTTTACCACACCGTCCCTCGAGATCCATTTTCCCTTAGTTTTGCACTTACATGGGCAACGATGACCAGAGCATTTCTGCCCCGCTTTTCTGTTATGTGGAAACAATGGAAAATGTTTTTTTAATATTCTCAAAGATATCTCAGTTGATTGAAAAGTTAATTTATTTGTCAATTTATTAAACATTTTAAAATAAAAAATAACATATTTTTATTCTGCAAAATCGAAGAAAGAAATTCGTTTTGGACTAATTTGGCAAAATATAAATTGAAAAAAAAATATAACCAATTTTGGTTCAAAAAAACAAACAATAAAACGTGATAATATTTTTCTTCGTATACACACTAAAAAATCAAACTATATATACTTGCCCGCATTCTTCGACTGGTTCTTTGATTTTTTTCGCTAATTCTACACTTTCGAATTTCTTGTTTATCCATATCATGCCTTTTTCTGCCGTAAAAGTACACCATCTATGAAGGCACCTCACGGACTGTGGGAACTGTGTGCATTTCATGGGGTTCTCTAATCTGAGATATTACGTAATAATTTATTACATAAATACCATGCAATTATTAACATATAAACGAGAATATCGGTTGGAAACCGAAGACTTATCGATCGATAGTTAGGGGATCCCCCAAAACAGAAACTGCAGTTTCGATTCATCCGCTCTTGTAACTTGCGCACTGCGCATCGCACACACACACTCGGCGGGTTTCAAAATTCTCTTGCTTTACAAAAATCTAGATCACTATATCAATAATTGATTGATAACTCGCTAATTATACGACATAATTCGCCCAAAATCAATAGGCTACTGGTCCGAGATAAGATGAATGCACATGCAAAATCTGGAGCAGATTCAATCTCGCTTTCGTGAGATATTGCGTGCATCTAACAGACACACAGACAGACAGACAGACAGACAGACAGACAAATACCTATCAATATACTTACCGATCTTAAGATCGATAAGTAATAATCAAACACAATTTGCAAAAAAGCATAACGCAAGGAAAGGTAGTTAGTTACATAATTACTAATTAAACACAAATTATTCAGAACTTGCGTAGGTTTAAACTTACTTTAATTTAATTTTCATTATTAAATTTGGGGTTTGAAAAAAAAAAAAAATTTATTATTATTGTGTAAATATGCATATAACACTTTGATCAGCTATCCATAAACAGCATTTTCTCCTTGTGAGAAAATTGAAAAATTTGTAAAAAAAAATAAAATAACAAATAAAATGAGAATATCGGACGGGGACCGAAGACTTATCGATAGAGACTGCGGTTTCGATTCATGACTCTATAGTGACACCGCGTGTCTCATCACTAATTAAGTAATAACTCGCTAATTATTCGACATAATTCATCCAAAATCGATAGGCATCTGGTCCGAGATATGATGAATGCACATGCAAAATTTGGAGCAGTTTAAATCACGCCTCGTGAGATATCGCGTGCATCTAACAGACAAACAGACAGACAAATAGGCAAATATTTATCAACATACATACCGATCTAAAGATCGATAAGTAATAATAACTCTTTAAACAATTGGACTTCTTAGTCTTCAATACTCACGGTGGTTCTTTTGTTATGCATGCCGGAAATGGCATCTTCTTATTTTTCATGCTCGCCGAACTTAGCACCACACATGTGGCGAAAATCACGAGCGTAAAGAGTTTCATTGTGATGCAACAATAAGAGCATATGAAACTTGTCTCATCAGATCGGCGTTATATAGATAGATTGGAATGAAAAAAACGCAAATGTTGTTGAAGAAAAAAGTTGTTTTAAATCTGAAATTTCGATATTTGAGAGAAATGAAAAAAAAAAGTTTATGACATCTGTATTTATTTGTACGAAAATTAATTTTATTATTTGCAGGTAATTCCTTATGGCATCGTTTTGATTTAAAAAACACTCTCTGTCCTATTGATTGCAACCTGCGATAAACAATGTACAGCTTCTCGTCAGATTATTTTCAGACGGTTGGTCTGATTCAAATTGTATTTGTTACAATTTATATAATCAAATGTTAACTGTCAAAAACTCATTTAAACCAATTATACCACTAAGAAAGCCGAATTGAATATTAAAATATTTGAACATTCAATAGATTTTATCGTATTTTTGAAAAAAACAATTTTTTCACTTGAAATATTGAACACTTACCTTAATCTATTTTAAGGCTAAATGATGAAAAACCATATTTTTCATTATAAAAAATTGAGGTTCCTAAATCTGAAATTTCCATCTAATCCATTTCAATCATACTTTCCAATGATTATAGTTTAATCCGTTCAGAGCTTTTCGTGATGCCGTGGTTTATTAAAAATTAAATTCTTGCCATTCAAAATAAACAAAATCAATTTCTGTTTCTGAAATACCATTGAGCGGTAAATTCATTTTTTATTTTTAAAATTCGAGTAGCTAGGGATTCAGACCGAGAGTTGAATCCGCACTTAAAGTCGATAACAATTCGATATTTCATATAGAATTTTTGGCGCTCCAGTAGTGTGTGTACCAATATGAAGGTAACTATTTTTTTCTGTCTACTTTACATTAAGTTGTCTAAAGTGACCGAAGCCTATGGGCAGTGGGTATATTCACGTGGGTAACAGAGACAGTCTCTGAACTCGTAATAGAACTAAAATACGGAAAATCGGAATCAAAATATGACCTAATCCTAACCTGGTATACATACCATACGGAAGTACCGAATTTTTCACCTAATTCCTAATTCAATCATGTATTCACGTATAAAATCCTCCGTTATGTATTCTCAACTTTAAAAAGATTAGTATACAAAACATATTTAATAAAATTATAATGTGATCGGTCAATAAATCGCTAGAAAAATACATTGATGCCGAATCACAGGCTCTTATCATGAAAATTGTACTTTGTTCGTTGTTGACCAAAGCACAGATAAAAAAAACTCTCCAGACTATAGGCAAAGATTTCTGCTCACAACAATGTTAATCATAAAAAAAAACACACAACAACGAGTGACTTTGGGATTTTTACATGGTCAATGAGGTGTTGGCAGATGTACGAGGTTGTACTGGTGAGTCGGAAATACCGCCTACATCGACAATGCAACACAAAAGGTGAAAAAGGCTGAGCGCGCATAGCTACAACAGGTTCGGAATCATGTGTTTTGGCGTTTTCAGTATGACGTCACAAACTCGAAGGATTTGACCTGGGTCCTTGGTCTATTACTCGATTCTTTAATTCGACCAACACCTGCCTAAGTTGTCAGATTTCCGATAAAAATAAAATTAAATTTACAAAGAAAATTGTGTCGTACGTTTGTTTCTTCAATTAGAAACATGTTTTCTTTACTAATTTTAGCGGACACAAGACAATAGTGGAGTATTTATGAATGAGTTCTGAATCCTTGTCTATTAATTCTAAAACCTTATTTTAAGGTGGTTAATTTTGATGCTTTTCCACCAATTTACATTTGTCCATCAACTCTCGAGTTACTGTTTTTTAAGTATTTTTCGCTCTGTAATAAAGGCACACAAACCAGTATCATATTGTCCACTCAAACTAGCCTTACTATCGTTATAAACTAATCAAACAATGTTGTCTGGAAGACCGGAAGACAATTTATTTTATTGTCAGAATATTCAAAATTAGCCTATAGCAGTTTATTTTTTATAGTTTAAGATTTCAATGCATTACATTATTTTTAAACAAACAATAAGAAAAGGCAAACAAAAAACACATTATAAGCACCAATGTTTCAAATCATAATTAAATGATCTCATTTTTGCCAACAATTGAGAAAAAAGCTGATTTATGTAAGAACTTTATTCACTGCACACATGCATCCATCTGAGATCTGAAAAAAAAAAATAAAAAAGTCAAGAATAATATTATAAATTGTTGTTAATCAAAACTCTAGCTTTGTCGAGAATTAATAACATTTTCGAAGGTTTGAAATGTTGTATTCTTATAGTTTAGTAAATATTAAATCTATCAATATTCTAGTTTCATGTTTTTTATCTTGTTTGCAATATATATAAATTTTGTACGAAGGCATATTTCACAGCAAAAAAACATAAAAATACAGAAATATATTGTTAAAGTGCTTCAAATAACATAACTTGTACATAAAACTATAAGTCTGAAAATGCACAACACTTGTACCAAAATTTATTAGTAATTTAATCGGGTCAAAGTTTCAAATATTTTAATGATGTAAATATATTCCGAAACCTATCAGTTATGTAAGTTGACCACACAATGCACATTGAAAGACATTTTGTGACATCATAGGTCAGATGACGTCATAGATAGTTTGACATACTATTCCTTTTCTATCACCCCTAACTCTTTTCATTGTCTTTATAAAATTGTAAATATATAAAACGAAATACCGTGAATCTGATCCAGCGTTTTTTTACTTCCAATTTCCCACAGATCTTTACCCAAACATAAGCCTTTTCCCATAATGTTTTGCCTTTGTGGCGACATTTGCACGGAATAATATCATTGCTACATTTCATTCCAGATACCCTGTTCCTAGAACAAGTGCCGGAAAAATAATATTAAAAAGATAAATTACAATATTCAGACGGCAAGGTCGACTCGATTCGGAAACGTCTAATACTAAATTAAAAAATGATAATTCTAAATTGTTTCAATAAAATATCAGTTAAGTTGAGAAATCTTTCATACTGCCAAAAAAAATTACTCTATGATGTGATTGTATATAGATATGTAGTAGTAAAACTTAGTGTAGACATACTTGCATTCTTCCACGTGTTTGTTCAATGCCCATCTCAATTTAACTGTTTCCCAAGTGTTCAATTTACCCTCTTTAACACGAAAAATACAACCTCTTTGTGGACATCTAGACACTGGCTTCGTTTCGCATTGGTCGGGATTCTTCGATCTGTGGTATTAAAAAAAAATTATAATCACGAATAAACTCCTAAGAACGGCGACATCATTGCTATATCTGCTATACTTACGGCGGGTTTTTAACGGCGCAAAATGGCGTCGATCGACGTCTTCTCTCATTTTCTGACTCCGCTGTGCACAGAAAAGTTCCTGCACAAAGCAAGAGTTTCATTTTGGTTGAAGGATACCAGAAATTGCTAGCTTTTTCATATTGCATGCCATTTTATAGAGTTTCTAGACATTGTAGGATAATTACCCGCTCTAGAGCTTCCATCGATATAAATTATTGTAATCACAGATTTTTTTGCTCGACGTATTGCTGACGTGTGTGATAAATCTATGACAATATTTTGCTTCATTTCAAATTGAGCAATACATCAAATGTTGTAAATGAATTTGTTTAACTAGTTGTCGAGACTTTTAAAAAAAATTCTACGAAGTGAGCTGTGCAGTGATCGTTTAGAACTTTAGACTCTAATGTTCCAGGGTCGACCAACCTTTTTCGCCGAAGGGCCACATGTGGTTCACTAATAATTGCGCGGGCAACTTGACATGATAGTTATGAACTAGTTTTGCTACACTGACGACAGGTTAATGAAAAAACAAACAAAACCTTAACATCAAACTTACAATATTTAGAACAATAAAACTGTTGTTTTCCAACCATTGATAGGACGCCATCGGGCGTTATTCCCGAAAGTTTCACCAAAGACAAGCCAAGACGCTTGATCATTTTTATCACAGCTCTTAACAAACCAATGTCTTTAGTGCTATTCGTACCCTCAACAGGGACAATTCCTGCGAGATCCACGGTTATTTCATGTCATCAAACTCACCCCAAAAATCGCAAGTCGCCAACGGAGCCGTAAACTTGATGTAAGTGCTTTCGTCAAGGGCCAAGGAATACAATGAAAATTTTCGATATCTCCTCCCAGTTGGTTTGATTCAAAATGTCACCCATGGCTCGTTTGGAAGGGCTGACAGAGCGCACTTCAGGGAAATGAACAAATCGTTTGTATCACATTTTTGTATAGACCTACTACATCACTCGAAATAGTTCTACTCAATTTTTTTTATTCAATACTGAAATGCTTCCGCGGGCCACGGGTTGGACAACCCTGTGCTAGCCTGTCAAAACATTATCACTCTAAACGAAAGCAGGGTTCTCAAACGGTGGGGCGCCCTACAAGTGGGGCCCAGACAATTTTTTCATGGGGCTTGAGGCTAAATAGAAATATTTGTTAGATTTGATCTTGCCTCCCTCATTTTGGATGTTTATATTTTTTTATTGTTCAGAGATTGTTATTTTATCAACGTATTTTCAAAGTGTTTTTCGAATAAAACATACTTTCGCCTTACTATTTGATTTTGCAGCTTGTCGTTTTAACTAGTTGTTGTTGATGTGGGCGCGAAACTTGACGAATTTTAAAAAGTGGGCGGTTTGAGAACCACTGCTCTACTAAAGTTTTTATTTGTATAATATACTCTGGTATTGTATTTAATATCATCATCGGGCATCGTTCTTCTGATATTTCTGTGGCTATACAAAATAGGCACCAACAATCTAAGCAAGTCTGAACGATTTCTCGCGTTCTGATCCTGAAGGTGATTATAGTTTGTATCGCGTTTCCGTTATTGCCTCAATTCTATTAATGTAGAATTATGTTCACCCAATACCCCATACAAAATCATAGTTCAATTAAACACATTTTTATTGACCGGTATACGCACAAGCAAACAGCACTTTTTGAATTACAAACTCCTTGTTAGGATTTTCTGCTCAGCGCACATGCATCCAGCTGGAATCTGGGAAAGAAATTTATATTTAGATAAGTTTTATTGAATAACCACACCAATCGCGGATTATTTCAGTATATTTATTACGTTACTTGGTCTATTCCAAATTGTCGCGGATCGTAAGCTTAAAGTATGAATCATATAGTATTACTTTTTGAGTCGATCGTATTAGTTTTCAAAAGTAGATCTAATATGAGCGGCAAATAAACCTAAGAATAAGTTATATAAAACCAATTGAATATTTTATTAAAAGTAAATTAATTCAAACAATAACTTTTGTTTGTGCTCAAAAATATTGTTTTCTCCTTTCTCATATTTTAAAAGTTAGTAACTTTCCAAACAAAATTAAATGACAAATGTAAATGTTAGTACACCTAAACGAGAAAAATATAGAATTTGTACAATACGGTTATTTCAAAAAGCATAGACTTGCGATATACTGACATGTATTTCAACCGATTTTTGAACAGACATCCACTTCCCACCAATCCAGGCTGTTACGACTGTCTTAATACCCCAGTTTCGACATCTGCATGGAAATATTCCACCGCTACATCGCTTTATTTGACCTTTCCAGTGTTTTTTACTTTAAATAAAAATTCAGTACTTTAGGATTTGTTCACGAATTGTATTTAGGCTTTTCCGTATTTGAAGCCATTTGAGAACCCATTTTTCTTTAAAATTCAATGATTTTACACACAAACACACACACATAACATATTATTATATTCTTACTCGCATTCTTTTCCATTTACTTTTATTGGTTTCACAATAGCAACTACTTTTGATTTTCCATTCTCAGTGAGTATTCCTTTTTCAATAGAGAGAGAGCATTCTTTCTCTTCACATTTCGACCATTTGTTCTTTTGGCATGATCTTGGTCTTTTCGATCTAAAATGTTGTAAAGCAATTTTTGGATTTTTTTCATGAACTAGAAAAAAATCTGTTTTGAAAGCTGGAAAACGTAGCATGCCAATCATATGTTATTTATAAGTCGCCATCAAAAAAATTGAAAAAAAGGCTTGACGTTTTATTATACTCAATATACCTTATACTTACGGCAAATTTTGCACAGAACATTGAGGCTCCCGAGACGATCCCGAAACGCAAACTGCCGCACACGCAACAATACACAGCAGCAGATATATTCTCATTTTGCCACGAGGTATAGATCATATGAATACTTTACTTTATTCGATTACTTTTATAGACTTGAATCAACAAAAAAGGCAAAATACGGTGAGTTATATTCTCAACTATAACTCTTTTTATATATATATTTTTTTTGATACATGAGAGATACGAGAGAATGTATTTTTTTGTATATAAAACGCTCCGAAAAAAAAGCGAAAATAATAGTTCAAGGCTAATAAACAATTCGTGTGTTAAAAGCTTTCTTCCATTTTTTTTATTTTATTAATATATTATTTGTTTTTACATTTAGCTAATACTTAATTTTTTTCTATCCATTCATGCAGACTACTTACGATTTTGGTAAAAACAATTCATATTGTTTTGTCGTTTCAATTAGGTTTCATTTTTTCATTCTATTTAATAATAATATTCCATTCTTATGATGAGTTTTCCGCAAAGTGTTCAGTCATTTTACCACTTATGTGTTAGGACAGGGGTCACCAACGCGTTGCCCGCGGGCACCAAGTCGCCCGCGAAGATCATACAAGTCGCCCGCAGGCGTGTTCCAAACTAAGCTTAATAACGGCGCTTATAAGTAAGCTACATCAATTAAATTTTGTCCTGCTATTCTTGTATAAATCACACTTATATGGAACTGAGAATGACGCTATATTATTTATTGTAACCATCAATCTGATTTTTATTTGACCTCAGTAATGTTACGGGTCAGTTAACACCCTTCCAATTATGACATCACACTGATATCACTTTCCACGAACCCGCGCTTTTTCTTGTCCGCTAGTTTGTGGAGCAGCAGAGATACAATTATAGATTCCAAAGAAAAATGGCAGGAAACGATGAAAAACCCACCATTTTCACGATGAATGGGAGGTGGATATATTTTTACCACCATAAAACAGCTTGCGTGTGTCTCATTTGTGGGGCGATTGTAGCGACGGCAAAGCGAAGAGATATTTCACATCTTGTCACGTAATCTTCCGCGCTAACTACCCACTGGTCAGCGCTGTACGGGCAGCTCTCGATTCAAATCATACAGCAATTCTATTTTACGAGACCATTGTTTGGTTCAACCTATCTTTGCGAATCAACATTTTTGACATAAACTCAGGATAGGATGGGATTTACATATTTATCCCAGGGGAGAAGATAGCCGATATGACGACTTAACCATATGGCGAACCACGGCCTCTCGTCCGGTTACCATTCCATGTCGGGTATGGGATTAGTTAGTTATTTGCTTTCAGAAGCATGGACTTGATGGCGAAGGAAGCCGTGACCGGCGGTTACGTGAAGCACCCAATGGCGGCGAGGCGTCCAGCAATCCTCTCGCACTTAACTATCCCCGCATGTGATTCTAACCTGCGAACCTAGCGCTTAGCACGATGGGCCACACCGCCGCGACTCACTCCACCAAGAACAAACAATGAACACGCCTCACTAATGAAAATGTACAAGACTTGCTCAGAGTTACAGTGTCAAGTTACACGTCGAAGTTTTGAATGCAAGTGTCATTGATAGAAATTAATTTGCTACGTTGTGATAATCGTTTGACTTTCTGAAGGATCCACTAATCGCAGGGGTCTCAAACTCGCGGCCCGCGGGATGATAGTTCGTGGCCCCCGCCTTGGTATTAAAGTTTAATGTTAGTGTGGCCCGCAAGTCACTTAGCTCAGTTAGCATGATTAATGCTTTTAATATAACAGCGTTTCCCGTACTGAGTTCCGCGGAAAACTAATGTTCCGCGAGCATCTCCCGAGTGTTGCGTGGAAAAGAAATCAAAAACACATCTAAATTGGTCGCATGGCGATCTGAGAATCATGAAGTTGTTGCCCAACTGACCGTTTAAAATCACCATTGGGAACCGCTACATTGCACCGTTTTTCTTTATCAATTTCACCCTTTCATTTTTTGATGTTCCGCGAGGAGATATAAAAAGTGTAACCATTGTAACCATGTTTCCCATGTGGCGAAACATCACTGTCCATCGGCTAAATGCTTGATTGAAACATCAGCGCAACAGTTATTACAAAATGGAATTTTATAATTTCGCACATCCCTAAACGTGTCGTTGGAAGTGAAGTTTCAGTAAACAGAAAGGTTGGTGATGAGCACAGACAATTTCAAAAAACTGGGAAATGCAATATTTCTTTGTTGAGCATAGAAGCATCCCGACATGTTTTATCTGCACAGTTAAAGATGCAGTGCACAAGGAATACAATTTAAACGAATTGCTAAGCTTTTATTGTGGAAAACCTGATGCGGCCCGGACTCATCCAGACTCTGCCCTAGTGGCCCCCAAGTAAATTGAGTTTGAGACCTCTGAACTAATCCTATCAGTGTCTCTACTTGACTAAATACCAGTAATTAATTGAAGTTTAATCCAGCAAACTGGCTTTTTTAGAATAGTACATTGAACTGGTAGCCCGCAGCTTAATCTGTACCCAGAAAGTAGCCCTCGGCCTCGAAAAGGTTGGTGACCCCTGTGTTAGGAGCTAATAATATGTTGGGGAGTATGTCAAAATAAAAATTTATTAGGTATATCTTACCCAGCTTAAATCAAAAGTGTTGTTATATATGTATGGTTCAAACATGATATATTCAACTCGAGACTCCGACGTAGTTAGGTGAAATCTGATCATATTCAAAAGTTTGCTATTCAGAATTTTTCTTATTTTATATGGATTAACTTGTGATTTATTCAACACAGACGCGCATTTTTATTTTTAAAACTATTTCCTATGGAAACTTAATTGAACTCAATTGAATTGGGCAATAAATAAAACAGTATTAATTGTAATTGAACTACATATATATAAATTATGGAATATTGAAATACGTGAGCATTATGAGATTTTTTATGTATTCATTACTAAACCGTTATTGCAACATTGTATAGATAACAATACAGGTACATATTTTAGTCCGTGTTCATTTTGTATTAGACTTAAAAACTTTGAGTAACGTTATAGACATCTCAATTTTTTATCGCTGAAAAATATTATAAATCTGATATAATATCTTGTCCAATGTTGATTTTCTCTCGTATGCCATGTTCCTCCCGATTTGTTTTTTTACGCCAATGACTGTTCTGCCTTATTCAATATGCTGTCTATTTCTAGTACCTGTAATTAACTTCTAAAAATTACTCTCGCACACTGTTTTCATCACAATGCAAACTCGAAGTGTATAGTTCCATTGTATTCAATATTTATATGCGAATTTTTTAGGATCTATGTTTTTAAATAAAAGATGATAATTTTGGCTCAATTTCATACAAAAACTCACTCAATCAGCAATCTAAATTTATAATGGGAGGATGTTAACTAATTAATATCTTGATTGCATTTCATAAATATTCAATAATTTTTACCACCTTTTACGCCATGATTTGTGATCTCTATCCATACATTTTCAAGGATAACCTTCATTTCATAAGATCTCCCGTATTTGTTATTTTTTGAACAGCCAGACTATAATAGACCTATAATCGACTTATAATTGGTTTCCCGTTTGACATTGGCAACAATGTCGATGATATTGAAAGAGGAGATTATTTGACTGATTTCTTAGTAATATGGAATTTCTAAAATCTATACTATGAAATAAATGGAAGTTTAAATCAGTCAAGCGACGAATCATACGTCACACTGGTCAAATGTTTGATTCTACGGTATGCCGTGATATATAGGATTCGCATATTTATCTCGGGGAACAGGACAGCCGACACGACGGCTTCATCATATGGCGAACCACGACCGATCGACCGGTTAGTAACCGGTTTCAGTCAATGTCGAATATGAGATTAGTTAGCCAGTTATTTGTTTCCAGATGCATGGTGGAGGAAGCCGTAACCACTGCACCCTACGGAGACGAGGACTCCAGCAATCCTCTCGCCCAAAATTAACCCCGCATGGCAGAAATTTATGATATCATTTGGCAAGAAATTCGATGCAACAACTGAATCTAATTTTGTTATATCATGGAATATTTATCGTGCTAAATTTCTATACTCTGATCGTGATTTTGTGAAAAAAATATTGCTGATGTTGTCGCAGTCTTGAATCTCAACAACACGAAGCGAGTATTAGCCCAAACGCCGGTTTCGCGTCGCACTACACAACAGCGCATCTCCCAAATTAGGACCAATGTACCAGTTACAATAGAAAATGATTCAATGAACTTCAATAATAATAATTTGAAAAATTATGCGGTTCTTCCATATTTCTGAATTGCTGCATGCGGCTCTTATACTAAAAAAAAATTCAACCCCTGCACTATAAGATGTATATATATTGTCAAAATATAAACAGAAAATCCTGATTGTTGATGAAGGATTTCATAGAAATGCTTCAATATGAAAAGAAAACGCAACTTTGAAATGCACACATTTGCTTGTATTTGTTTATATTGCTCCAGTATTGATGGCGCTCAAAATAGAATTAATTTAATACCGAATAAAAATTTCAATTTTCTTTATTTCAACTTCTTCATCTGCCATCGATTCTAGTCATCAGGTTCAGTGCACGTGCAACCCCCTGGCACCTATAAAAATGCAATAGTAGTATTTTAGTTACTATTGGTGCTAATCTATCAAAACACCTAAAACTTATTCCATAATTTCTTTTTTCATTTCTATTCTACATCACCTTTTTAATTGCTTAAGGCCTACATTACTTTGCTTTTATAAATTTAAAATACACGTGTAGTCTACACAAATACATCTAGAAAGCCTAATGGCAATATAATATTAGATAATTACCCTGAGTTTGACTGCTTTCGGCACAGATACCCAGTTTCCATTAATTTTCACTGTTACCATACCGACTTTCCAGATCCATTTTCCCTTATTGTAGCACCTACATGGGCAACGATAACCAGAGCATTTCTGACCCGGTTTTCTGTTATGTGGGAACATAGAAAAATGTTTTTTTAATATTCTGAAATAGTCAGTAGTTGATTACAATGTTAGTTACTTCGCCATAGCCGACTCATTAAACTTTTTTAAATGATAATATTATTATTCTTCAAAAATAAAATAAGAAATTCGTTCTGGACTAATTTGGCAATATATAAATTAAAAAAAAATTAAACAATTTTCGTTTAGAAACAAAAATAATAAAACGCGACACTATTTTTCTTGGTATACACCTTAAAAAATCAAACTATACTTACTTGCATTCATCGACTGTTACTCTGATTGTTTTCGCTAATTTTACACTCTTTAATTTTTGGTTTATTAATGTCAATCCTTCTATTGCCGTAAAAGTACACGGTCTAACAAGACAAAACGGCGACTGTGGGACATGTGTGCATTTCATGGGGTTCTCTGATCTGAAATATTACGCAATAATTTATTTTATAACTACTATGCAATTATTTCCATATAAAATAATCAAACACAAAGTGCGCAAAAGCATAACGCAAGGAAAGATAGTAAGTTACACAATTGTTTAGTTTCCAATTAAACACAAATTATTTAAAACTTGCATAATTTTAAAATTTTTCTAATTTAATTTTTAGTAAAAAATTTGGGGTTTGAAATGATAAATTTAATATTATTTTGTGAATATGCATATCAACACTTTGATCAGCTATCCGTAAACAACATTTTCTTCTCGTGAAAAAATTGAAAAATTTGTAATAATAACAAATAAAATAATTACGCAACTTTCGAAACAATTGGACATTAGTCTTTGATACTCACGGTGGTTTTTTCGTCATGCATGGTGGAGGAAGCGCCGAACCCAGCACAACACATGTGGCGAAAATGACCAGCGTAAACAGTCTCATTGTGAAGCAACAATAAGAGCATATGAAAACTTGTCTTAGCAGATTGGCGTTAAATAGATAGACTGAAATGAAAAAAAATGCATTATTGTTAAAAAAAGAAAATTGTTTTGAATCTTCAATTTTGATATTTGAGAGAAATGGAAGAGAAAAAATGTTTATGACGTATAAGCGACTGTATTTATTTCAACAAAAATTAATTTTATTATTTACAGGTAATTCCTTGTGGCAGAAAACTTGTGGCATCGTTTCGATTTTAAAAACTTCTTTGTCCTATTGATTGCAACTAGCGATAAACAATGTACAGATTATTTTCACGCGGGTGGTCTGATTCAAATTGTATTTAATGAAATCTATATAATCAAATGCTAACTGTCAAAAAGTTATTTGAACTAATTATACCACTAGGAATTAGAAAGCCGAATATTAAAATAATCAAACACTCAATGAATTTTATCGTATTTTTTAAAATAACAATTTTTTTACTTGAAATATTGAACATTTAATATGTTGAAATAATAAGGTAGCAAGATTTTTTGCATATTGCATATTCTATTTTAACACTAAACGATGAAAAACCATATTTTTCATTATAAAAAATTGAGGTTTTTAAATCTGAAATTTCCATCTAATCCATCTCAAACATACTTCCAAATGGTTATAGTTTAATCCGTTCAGTTTATTAAAAAATAATTTCTTGCCATTCAAAATGAACAAAATGAATTTTTGTTTTTAAAATGCCATGGAGCGGTAAATTCATTTTTTATTTTTAAAATTAGAGTAGCTATGGATTCAGACCAAGAGTTGAATCCGCACTTAAAGTCGATATAAATTCGATATTGCAAATGGGATTTCTGGCGCTCCAGAAGTGTGTACCAATATGAAGGTAACTAATTTTTTTCACCTACTTTACATCAAGTTGTGTAACGGGACGGAAGCCTATGAGCAGAAGGTCACGTGGCTAACACAGACAGTCCCTGAACTCTTAGAACTAATATAAGAAAATCGGAATAAAATTATGGCTCAACCCTAATCTGGTACACATACTACACGGAAGTACCGAATTTTTTACCCAGTTTCCTATTCAATTATGTATTCACGTATTGAAGCCTCCGTTATGTATTTTCAACTTTATAAATATAAGTATACAAAACATATTTAATAAAATTGTAAAGAAATCGGTAATTAGATTGCTAGAAAAATACATTGATGCCGTATCACATGCTCTTATCATGAAATTTGTACTTTGTTCGTTGTCAACCAAAGCACAAATAAAAAAAAATTCTCCAGACTATAGCAAAAGAATTCTGCTCAGAACAATGTTAATCCTACAAAAAAACACAACAACGAGTGACGCGAGCAATGAGGTGTTAGCAGTTGTACGAGATACTGTACTGGTGAGTCGGAAATACCGCGCGCATCGACAATGCAACACAAGAGGTGAAATTATTAATTTTAGCGAAAATGAATCCAAGTCCATAATTTGAGCCATAATTTTATTCCGATTTTCTTATATTAGTTCTTGTATTAGTTTTTTTGTTTTGTTTTTCAAAATAGTCAAACAAATTCCACCTCAACTCTTATTGAGCGCCCATTGCTACAACAGGTTCGATACCATGTGTTTTAGGGCCATTCCAAGCAAAAGTTGAATTCCATCAATTTTTTTAAAAGTTTGGTGAAAGTAATTTTTTTGTATTTTTTATATCAAAAGACATTGGAATTTTATCGGACTGCATTCATTTCACCTAAAAAGGTAAAATTTCACCCAGGTTTTTGATGGTATATAAAAAATGGCTTGAAATTTTGGTGCAATTGACATATTTTGTGATGATTCGTGACACAAAGTGTTTGATTGTGTGATACAGTTATTTCAGATGAAATAGACGCACTGGATTTAAGTTAATAACGATTACATGTTGGCAGTGCTGTAGGACATTTCTTCACCCATTTAACGATTTATTACCATAATTTTAAGGGATGATGGAGGCCGCTGTTCCGAAGGGGGAAAATGTCCTGTAGTGGCACATACAATATGCACATTATTGGCATGGATTTACAGTGCAACATTAAGTAACTTAAGCAACACATCGAGGGGTCCTTCAGCTACGGCATCAGAAAGTATTGTGGGCTCCTGCTGGAACATCGCAAAAATTTACAGCACAACACACTGTAACGTTAATCCATGGTGGATTTCCCGTTCTGTAGTGTCACGATATATTTTACTATCTTTTTATTTCACTAAGTAAGTCTTGTGTGTAACTTTCGTACATTTTTTTCCATATTCAATAAAGCAACTGATTGGACAATGAAACAAAACATGTAGCTGAAAATGTGAAAATATATTGCATCAAACATCAATTTCTGGAATTGTCCTGGAGTGTCGCTTGGAATAGCCCTTTAGCGTTTTGATTATGACGCCACAGACTCGAAAGATTTGACCTGGGTCCCTGGTCTATTACTCGAATTGTTTGATTTGACCAACACCTGAGTTGTCAGATTTCCGATAAGAATAAAATTAAAAAAATTAAAAATTGTGTCGTCCTTTTTTTCTCCAATTAGAAACATGTATTCTTTCCAAATTTTAGCGGACATAAAACAATAGTGGGGTAGTAATGAAGAGTTCTGAATACTTATATTTTAATTCTGAAATCTTAGTTTTGGGGGTAATATTGATGCTTTTTGAGTATTTTTTGCTCTGTAATAAAACCACAAAAGTCAGTATCATATTGTCCCACTCAAACTAGCCTTACTATCCTTATTAACTAATCAAACAATGTTGTCCGGAATACAATTTATTTTATTGTCAGAATATTCAAAATTAGTCTATAGCAGTTTATTTTTTATAGTTCAGAAATACAATGCATTTCATTATCTTTAAACAAACGATAAGAAAAAGCCAAAAAACACAAATTATAAGCACCAATGTTTCAATTCATAATTAAATGTTCCCATTTTGGCCAACAATTGAGAGAAAAGCTGATTTATGTAATAACTTTATTCACTGCACACATGCATCCATCTGAGATCTGAAAAATAAAAAATTCAAGAATGGAATTATAAATTGTTGTTAATCAAAACTTTACCTTTGTCGAGAACTAGGAACTATTTCAAAAGTTTGAAAGGTTATATTCTTATAATTTAGTAATTAATAATTCTATCAATATTCTATTTTCATGTTTTTGATCTTGTTTGCAATATCTTATAAATATTGTACGAACTCATATTTCACAGCAAAAAAAATCAGAAAAATACAGATATATATTAATAAAGTGCTTCAAATAACATAACTTGTACATAAAACTATAACTCTGAAAATGCACAACACTTTTACTAAAATGTATTAGTAATTTAATCGGGTCAAAGTTTAAAATATTTCAAGGATGTAAATATATTTCGAAATCTATTATTTATGTACTTTCACCACACAATGCACATTGAAAGACATTTTGTGACATCAGAGGTCAGATGACGTCATAGATAGTTTAACATATATCATCTCAATCTCTTTTATTGTCTTCATAAAATTGTGAATATATGAAACAAAATACCGTGAATTTGATCCAGCGTTCGGTTAATTTCACTTTCCCAGCGATCTCCACATAAACACGAGCCTTTTCCCATAATGTTTTGCCTTTCAGGCGACATTTGCATGGATTAATATCCTTGCTACATCTCATTCCAAGTACTTTGTTCCTAAAATTAAGGCCATATTATTAAAGATAATATTAAAAAAGATAAATTACGATATTTAGGCGGCAAGGTCGACTCCAATTGCGAAGTGCCCAATTCCAAATTAAAAAATGATAATTCTAAATTGTTTCAATAAAATTTCAGTTAGATTGAAATACCTTGTATACTTTCCCCCCAAAAATTATTGTTTTATGTAAGTAAATACAGATTTGTACAAGTAAAATTTAGTATAGGCATACTTGCATTCCATCCCTTCTTTTATCAATGGCCGTCTCAATTTAACTGTTTTCCCAGTGTTCAATTTACCCTCTCTAACAAGAAAATTGCATTTTTTTTCTGAACATCTGGACACTGGCGTCGTTTTGCATTGGACGGGATTCTTCGATCTGTGGTATCCAAGAAAAAAAACAATAATATAATCACAAATAAACTCCTAAGAACTGCGACGTATATAAGAGGGAATTCATTGCAATATATGCTATACTTACGGCGGGTTAAAGACGCAAAATGGCGTCGATCGACGTCTTCTCTCATTTTCCGACTCCGCTGAGCACAGAAAAGTTCCTGCACAAAGCAATATAGCAATGAAGAGTTTCATTTTGGTAGAAGGATACCAGATATTGCTAGCTTTTTTATATTGCATATCATTTTATAGAGTTTCTAGACATTGTAGGATAATCCAACCACAAAAGCTTTTTACCCGCTCTAGAGCTTCCATCAATATAAGTTATTAATTACAACCATTTTATTTGAAAGTTTTTCGGTGGTAAGATGAATGCACACAATGGTGCTTTCCAATGTTTACGCTTTCTCCAAGCTAAAGCTCGATTCCATCAGCTATGAAATAGTTCAAAATGGCGGTTTATCAGTATTCTCGATTTTGCAATGTATTAAAATTACTCCGTTATTTTTATATTTGATTCAATACCTTTGGACAACGTAATCTTGATATGGTAGTATACAAGTAAGACCAATTTTTTTAAATGGTATTCCACAGTTCGCTGTTGTCAAGGCACAGATTTTTTTGCTCCAGATTTTTAGACCTATATTTCAAGTTAAGGACTACTTCTTAAACAAAACGAGGATATTGATTAAAATATCAAAACCAATCATCACAAACTAATTTCAAATTGGCCTTGGATGACAACCACCGCTAGTTGACAATGGCTGGAAAGTATCAATCGATCGCTCAAAATTGAAATGTCAAATATTATTTTCAATTTACAGTATGTCAACTGTAACAATAGAAATGAATAAACTCGTCGCAATTTTTTAATTTTTCAATTATCGCCTCTGTTTTTAAAAACAATGACAATTGATAGGGAGCAATGATGGGATTCGATTTTATCCATGATTATGCTTTCTTTTGAAGGACAAATTTGAAGAATCTTAGACTGGATTACTACTGACAAAATTTCTCCAATGAAGATACAACTGTCAAGAGATGTTTTTTTTTGAAAAATAGTTATTCAAATTCGATGCAAAGTGACATTCGGCCATCGACGCTGTTAAATATAACAATAAATACTTAACTTTTCATTCTTATTTTTATAATATTTTCCTCAAAAAAAGAAACATGAGAAACCTGAATTAAAAAAAAAAAACAGGCAACCCTAGCAAGCAAACAGTTAGGTCGAAGCTTTCCTTACGTAATATTTTCCTGCTATTCCGTATGTAAGTAGACAAAGTGGAGGCGATATTTTTACTGCAAGACCGAATTGCGCTGTTGTTATAATTGCAAGAATTTATTTTCGTAACGAAATACTTTCAGATCTATATCAAGTTAGCGAAGAAGCAAATAACGTAAGTAATATTTAAAATTTCATTTTTTTCGTAAAAAAACGGAACGGAAAAATTCCTAATATAGATTTATTTAGGCACGATATAGTGCTTTCATTGTTTTTAGTTTTTCTTCGAGGTAGCTTTCCGTGGTACCCCAGTATTTTAAAAGTGAATATGTGTTTATGAAACTTTTGAAGTCCGTTTTATCAAGCTAAGTATATCACGGTATGAGCGGTATTTTTTATTAAATTAACACTGACATGTGGTAAGCGTGCTTGATATTCTACGTTTTACTGCAAACGCATGTCATGAAGAAAAGTTGTGTTTGCGATAATCCGAGATTTTGCGTGATCCGGGAAAGAAATGCCGAAACTTCGTTATGCTGGGTAATTTGATGCTTATTTATGTATTCATTTTCAAGGAGAGTAGAGAACTCCCGAAATGCAATTCGAGTAGATATAGCTAGGCCTGTAGGTAGCGCGTAAAGTATAAATTGAACATACATGGCTACTTCGGACTTCGGACAATACTTTTCAACCAATGAATGTTGCGGTTGACACATCATTCGTTTCCTTATATGGTTTACGAAAATAGGCTTTTTGTGCAAGCCTTTTATGCTTTGCCATAAAAAATGTCACGAAATATTTCAATGAGTACGTCATTAGTACATGGGAATAGAGCACGCGGAGTAAGAGTTACCACTTCATATACTCTTACTACATGACGCAGGGCCCACAGTAAACGTCTGTATTGTTATTATTTTCAAACTTGCAAACTTCGAAGTTTTCAAATTGAAAAGCGTTTTATAGATTTATTTCTGGGAACTATAAGTCTTTCAACTTCGAAAATTATTATGAGTTCCACAGTTTCCGCCGGAAGTAAATATTAATTGCAATTGTTTTCGTAACAGACATATAGAATATTTTAAATTTTTCGGTGGTAAAATGAATGCACGTCATGGTGCTTTCCACTGTTTATACCTTTGCCAAAAAATGCTTTCCGTACTATTTTAGTTTAGCAGTGATGGTTTTGAAAACCATGAGATAATGTCACAGCAATCAAAAGGCACTCAGAATCTCAGAATATCACCAGAACAAAAATTATCGAAATTACATATTCAGTGCACGATATGGTGCTTTCCATTGTTTATTCTTGTGGAATACTTCCGTGCTATTAGAGCTTAACTTTCTCAGCCTTATTTTTAAGATATAAGTGTTAAAAGATGATAATCTTAGCGCAATTGCATACAGAAACTTAATCTTAAATTCTAATGAAAGGGTGTCAATTAATTCATATTCTAATTGAATTTCATAAATATTCGATTATTTTTACAACATTTTACATCATGCTTGTGATCTCTATCCATACATTTTTAAGAGTAACTTTCTTGTATAAGACCTCCGCTATTTGATATTTTTTGATCAGCCAGACTATAATAGACTTATAATCGACTTATAATAAGTTTTTCGTTTGACATAGTCAACGATTTCGATGATATTAAAATGGGGTATTATTTGACTGATTTCCTAGTACGATGAAACTTCTATCATTCCTATCAGGGTGGTCCAAACTGCCGCCCGCCGACACATTCTGTGCGGCCTGCAGAACAATTTTAGCGGATATACACTACTAAACCATTAGCAGATATTTGTATTTATTGGCAGAATCTGTAAAAATAGAAAGAATTGTTTTGTCCAGGCAATACCTAGTCCTAGCCGATGAGATGAGCTCGCGTCAAGTAACTCGTCATTTGAAGAGACGTTTTGTGCTTTTGTTTTATTCAAAACACGCCTCTATTTTCAAGTGTTTGCTATGTGACAGCAGTGACGCAGAGCTGACTTAGCGCCATGCGATCCAGTTTTTTTTTTAATTTTTTATCTTGGTCCGAGGTCCCAATTTAAACGGACTTTGTTGATTTTTTGACGGCCTGCTCACGCTACAAATAATAAATTCATCATTCAATAAGTGTAGAAAATAGGAGACCGAAGTAAACTTGGAGCAAACGTATTTCCTTATCCACAACAACGTTAAACCACAGTGTCATGGCATGTTTTCAAGTAATATCTGTCACGAAAGAATATAATTTTAAGCGACATTGCAAAACCAAACACAAGAAAAGATGTCGGAAATACTACAATATTACTAGGGCAACAATTTTAAAATAACTAAAAGCTTTATACAGTTTTGTTGAAAAACTGATTAGAACAATAAACTCTTATTTTTAGATATATTTAAGGTGAGTGAACTCGCGAAGTTTTGATCCCTTTTGGATTTTTTCCGACTGGGGCCCGCGAGACCTCCTCCTTTTTGCGGCCCTTCAACCTTGGACCACCCTGATCTATATTATGAAATTTATACAATAAACCAGCGTAAGTCTTCGTAGTACATTTGCACATGAGCAATTTCTGCGGTTAAACAAATTAAATTTTTTTTATTGTCATAAGGTCAAGTATTTACATCTCGATATATTTTGTGTTAATTTATTTTTGTGACATATAAGATACATATAAATGGTCAAAATATAAACGTAAAATCCTGATTGTTGATGAAGGATTTCATGGAAATGCTTCAATATGAAAAGAAAACACAACTTTGAAATGCACACATTTGCTTGTATTTGTTTATATTGCTCTAGAATTAATGCCACTCAAAATAGAATTTATTAATTACAAATAAAATTTTCAATTTTCTTTATTTCAACTTCTCCATCAGCCATCGAATCTAGTCATCAGGTTCCGTGCACGTGCAACCCCCTGGCACCTGTAAAATGCAATAAATATTTTTAAATTTATTTTGTTAGTATTTTAAGGCATTACTGGTGCTAATCTATCGCAACATAACTCGTTCTATTATTTTTTTAAAATAAAAAATAAAAAATACTTCTACGTCCTCTACAGTCTACACAAATACATCTAGAAAAGCATAATGACAATATTACATAATTACCCTGAGTTTGACTGATTTCTGCACAGATTTCCAGTTTCCATTTATTTTCATTCTAACCCAACCGGTTTTCCATATCCATTTTCCCTTATTGTAGCACCTACATGGGCAACGAAAACCAGAGCATTTCTGACCCGGTTCTCTGTTATATGGGAACATAGAAAAATGTTTTTTTAGTATTCTGAAATAGTCAGTAGTTGATTACAATGTTAGTTACTTCGCCATGGCCGACTTATTAAACTTTTTCAAATAAAAATATTTTTATTCTTCAAAAATAAAATAAGAAATTCGTTCTGAACTAATTTGGTAATATATAAAAAATAAAAAAAATTAAACAATTTTCGTTCAGAAACAAAAATAATAAAACGTGATACTATTTTTCTTGGTATACACCTTAAAAAACCAAACTATACTTACTTGCATTCATCGACTGTTACTCTGATTTTTTTCGCTAATTTTACACTCTTTAATTTTTGGTTTATTAATGTCAATCCTTCTATTGCCGTAAAAGTACATGGTCTAACAAGACAAAACGGCGACCGTGGGACATGTGTGCATTTCATGGGGTTCTCTGATCTGAAATATTACGCAATAATTTATTTTATAACTACTATGCAATTATTTCCATATAAAATAATCAAACACAAAGTGCGCAAAAGCATAACGCAAGGAAAGATAGTAAGTTACACAATTGTTTAGTTTCCAATTAAACACAAATTATTTAAAACTTGCATAATTTTAAAATTTTTCTAATTTAATTTTTAGTAAAAAATTTGGGGTTTGAAATGATAAATTTAATATTATTTTGTGAATATGCATATCAACACTTTGATCAGCTATCCGTAAACAACATTTTCTTCTCGTGAAAAAATTGAAAAATTTGTAATAATAACAAATAAAATAATTACGCAACTTTCGAAACAATTGGACATTAGTCTTTGATACTCACGGTGGTTTTTTCGTCATGCATGGTGGAGGAAGCGCCGAACCCAGCACAACACATGTGGCGAAAATGACCAGCGTAAACAGTCTCATTGTGAAGCAACAATAAGAGCATATGAAAACTTGTCTTAGCAGATTGGCGTTAAATAGATAGACTGAAATGAAAAAAAATGCATTATTGTTAAAAAAAGAAAATTGTTTTGAATCTTCAATTTTGATATTTGAGAGAAATGGAAGAGAAAAAATGTTTATGACGTATAAGCGACTGTATTTATTTCAACAAAAATTAATTTTATTATTTACAGGTAATTCCTTGTGGCAGAAAACTTGTGGCATCGTTTCGATTTTAAAAACTTCTTTGTCCTATTGATTGCAACTAGCGATAAACAATGTACAGATTATTTTCACGCGGGTGGTCTGATTCAAATTGTATTTAATGAAATCTATATAATCAAATGCTAACTGTCAAAAAGTTATTTGAACTAATTATACCACTAGGAATTAGAAAGCCGAATATTAAAATAAACAAACACTCAATGAATTTTATCGTATTTTTTAAAATAACAATTTTTTTACTTGAAATATTGAACATTTAATATGTTGAAATAATGAGGTAGCAAGATTTTTTGCATATTGCATATTCTATTTTAACACTAAACGATGAAAAACCATATTTTTCATTATAAAAAATTGAGGTTTTTAAATCTGAAATTTCCATCTAATCCATCTCAACCATACTTCCAAATGGTTATAGTTTAATCCGTTCAGAGCTTTTCGTGATGCCGTGGTTTATTAAAAAATAATTTCTTGCCATTCAAAATGAACAAAATGAATTTTTGTTTTTAAAATGCCATGGAGCGGTAAATTCATTTTTTATTTTTAAAATTAGAGTAGCTATGGATTCAGACCAAGAGTTGAATCCGCACTTAAAGTCGATATAAATTTGATATTACATATAGGATGTCTGGCGCTCCAGAAGTGTGTACCAATATGGAGGTAACTAATTTTTTTCACCTACTTCACATCAAGTTGTGTAAAGGGACGAAAGCCTATGAGCAGAAGGTCACGTGGCTAACACAGACAGTCCCTGAACTCTTAGAACTAATATAAGAAAATCGGAATAAAATTATGGCTCAACCCTAATCTGGTACCTATACTATACGAAAGTACCGAATTTTTTACCCAGTTTCCTATTCAATTATGTATTCACGTATTGAAGCCTCCGTTATGTATTCTCAACTTTATAAATATAAGTATACAAAACATATTATTAAAATTGTAATGTAATCGGTCATTAGACCGCTAGAAAAATACATTGATGCCGAACCACATGCTCTTATCATGAAAATTGTACTTTGTTCGTTGTTGACCAAAGCAGAGATAAAAAAAACTCTCCAGACTATAGGCAAAGATTTCTGCTCACAACAATGTTAATCATACAAAAAAAAAACACACAACAACGAGTGACTTTGGGATTTTTACATGATCAATGAGTTGTTAGCAGATGTACGAGGTTGTACTGGTGAGTCGGAAATACTGCTTACATCGACAATGCAACACAAAAGGGGAAAAGGCTGAGCGCGCATAGCTACAACAGGTTCGAATCATGTGTTTTAGCGTTTTCAGTATGACGTCACAGACTCGAAGGTTTTGACCTGGGTCCTTGGTCTATTACTCGATTCTTTGATTCGATCGACACCTGAGTTGTCAGATTTCCGATAAAAATAAAATAAAATAAACAAAGCAAATTGTGTCGTACTTTTCTTTCTTCAATTAGAAACATGTTTTTATTACTAATTTTAGCGGACATAAGACAATAGTGGATTATTGATGAAGAGTTCCAAATTCTTGTCTATATTTTAATTCTAAAACCTTATTTTGGGGGGTTAATATTGATGCTTTTCCACCAATTTACATTTGTTCATCAACTCACAAGTTACTGTTTTTTGAATATTTTTCGCTCCGATATAAAACCACAAAAGCCAGTATCATATTGTTCTACTCAAAATAGCCTTACTATCGTTATAAACTCATCAAACAATGTTGTCCGGAATACAATTTATTTTATTATCATAATATTCAAAATTAGTCTCTAGCAGTTTAATTTTTATAGTTTAGAATAACAATGCATTACATTATTTTTGAACAAACGATAAGAGAAAGCCAAAAAAAAAACATTATAAGCACCAATGTGTCAAATCATAATTAAATGTTCTCATTTTTGCCAGCAATTGAAAGGAAAGCTGATTTATCTGTGAGGGACATTAACCACTGCACACATGCATCCATCTGGGATCTGAAAAAAAAGTCAAGAATAATATTATAAATTGTTGTTAATCAAAACTCTAGCTTTGTCGAAAATTAGTAACTTTTTCAAAGGTTTGAAATGTTATATTCTTATAGTTTAGTAATTATTAATTCTATCAATATTCTAGATTTTAATGTTTTTGATCTTGTTTACAATAGATATAAATTTTGTACGAACGCATATTTTACAGCAAAAAACATAAAAATACGGATATATATTAATAAAGTGCTTCAAATAACATAGCTTGTACATAAAACTATAACTCTGAAAATGCACAACACTTGTACTAAAATTTATTAGTAATTTAATCGGGTCAAAGTTTCAAATATTTTATTGATGTTAATATATTTCGAAACCTATTAGTTATGTAAGTTCACCACACAATGCACATTGAAAGACATTTTGTGACATCATAGGTCAAATGACGTCATAGATAGTTAAACATACTTTTCCTTGTCTATCACCTCTAACTCTTTTCATTGTCTTTATAAAATTGTAAATACATAAAATGAAATACCGTGAATCTGATCCAGCGTTTTTTTACTTCCAATTTCCCAGCGATCTTTACCCAAACATAAGCCTTTTCCCATAATGTTTTGCCTTTGTGGCGACATTTGCACGGAATAATATCGTTGCTACATTTCATTCCAGATACCCTGTTCCTAAAACAAGTGCCGGAAAGATAATATTAAAAAGATAAATTACAATATTCAGACGGCAAGGTCGACTCGAATTGTCAAATTCTAAATGAAAGAATGATAATCTAAATTGTTTCATTAAATTATCAGTTAAGTTGAGAAATCTATCATACTGTCAAAAAAAAATTACTCTATGATGTGATTGTATATAGATTTGTAATAGTAAAACTTAGCGTAGACATACTTGCATTCTTCAACGTGTTTGTTCAATGCCCATCTCAATTTAACTGTTTCCCAAGTGTTCAATTTACCCTCTTTAACACGAAAAATGCAATCTCTTTGTGGACATCTGGACACTGGCTTCGTTTCGCATTGGTCGGGATTCTTCGATCTGTGGTAATAAAAAAAAATAATATTATATTCACGAATAAACTTCTAAGAACGGCGACATATAAGAGGGCTACATTGCTATATCTGCTATACTTACGGCGGGTTTTTAACGGCGCAAAATGGCGTCGATCGACGTATTCTCTCATTTTTCGACTCCGCTGAGCACAGAAAAGTTCCTGCACAAAGCAATATAGCAATGAAGAGTTTCATTTTGGTAGAAGGATACCAGATATTGCTAGCTTTTTCATATTGCATGCCATTTTATAGAGTTTCTAGACATTGTAGGATAATCCAACCACAAAAGCTTTTTACCCGCTCTAGAGCTTCCACCAATATAAATTATTATAAACACTGATTTTTTTTGCTCCAATGAAACATTTTTAGACCTATATTTTAAGTTAAAGGAAGAGTACTTCTTAAACAAAACGGAGAGATTAATAAAAAAATATAAGAGCCAATTATCAAAAACTTCTAAAATCTAATTTCTAATTGGTCTTGAATGACCACCGCTAGTTGACAATAGCCGAAAAGTTTCAATCGCTCAAAATTGAAATGTCAAATATTATTTTCCTTTTACAGTATGTCAACTGTAACAATAAAAATGAATAAACTCGTCGCGATTTTTCAGTTTTACAAATATTTGTTTAAAAACAATGACAATTGACAAAGAACGATGCTGGGATTCGAATTTTTCCATGATTATGCTTTCTTTTGAAGGACAAATTTGAAGAATCCTAGACTGGAATACTATTGGCCAAAATTTCTCCAATGAAGATACACTGTCAAGAAATGTTTTTAAAAAAAGTTATTTAAATTCGATGCAATGTGACATTCGGCCATCGACGCTGTTAAATATAACAAAAACTACTTAATTTTTCATTCTTATTTTAATACAATTTTCCTCAGAAAAAGAAGCCTAAGAAACCTAAATTGATAGAAAAAAAAATAGGCAACCATAGCAAGTAAACAGTTGGATCGAAGCTTTCTTTACGCAATATTTTCCAGCTATTCCGTATGTAAGTATACAAAGCGGATTTGATATTTTCACTGCTAGACCGAATTGCACTCTAGTTATAGTTGCAGGAATTTATTTTTGTAACGAAATACTTTCAGATCTATATCGAGTTAGCGAAGAAGCAAATAAGATAAGTAATAACTCAAATTTCATTTTTTTCATAAAAAATCGGAACGGGAAAATTCCTAAAAAAGATTTATTTATGCACAATATATTGCTTTCCATTGTTTTCGGTTTTTCTTTGAGGTAGCTTTCCGTGGTACCACAGTATTTTGAAAGTAAATATGTGTTTATGAAACTTTTTGAATTTCGTTTTATCAAGCTAAGTATATCACGGTATGAGCGGTATTTTTTATTAAAATAACACTGGCATGTGGTAAGCGTGCTTGATAATCTACGTTTTACTGCAAAAGCATGTCATGAAGAAAAGTTGTTTTTGCGATAACCCGGGATTTTGCGTGATCCGGGAAGGGAAGGCCGAAACTTCGTTATGCTGGGTAATTTGATGCTTATTTATGTATTCATTTTCAAGGAGAGTAGAGAACTCCCGAAATTCATTTCGAGTAGATATAGCTAGGCCTGTAGGTAGCGCGTAAGGTATAAATTGAACATACATGGCTACTTCGTACTCGAATACTTTTCAACCAATGAATGTTGCGGTTGACACACCATTCGTTTCCCTATATGGTTTACGAAAATAAACTTTTTGTGCAAGCCTTTTATGCTTTGCCAGAAATAATTTCACGAAATATGTCAATGAGTACGTCATTAGTACATGGGAATAGAGCACGCGGGGTAAGAGTTACCACTTCATATACTCTTACAACATGACGAAGCGCCCACAGTAAACGTCTGTATTGTTATTATTTTCAAACTTGAAAACTAATTTGAAGTTTTCAAATTGAAAAGCGTTTTATAGATTTATTTCTGGTAACTATAAGTTCTTTTAACTTCGAAAATTATTATGAACTCCACAGTTTCCGCCGGAAGTAAATATTAATTGGACACGAAATGGACATAACGATCGTTTCAAAATTTTGTTGTTATTGTTATTTGTCTCCATCTCCATTTTTAAAAAATCGCTTTTCTCTTCGAATACTGGACCAATTGCTTTGAAATTTTCAGTGGTTGAAGATAAAATTTTTCTCCAGAGGGCTATTACTTTTTTTTTTGTTGCTATGACGTCATCAAAATTATTGCCATTGGGTGGCACTACGTGTCCATATATTTGAGCATAGCTCTCTTGTTGCAATTGTTTTCGTAACAGACATACAGTATTTTTCGGTGGTAAAATGATTGCACGTCATGGTGCTTTCCACTGTTTATACCTTTGCCAAAAAATGCATTCCGTACTATTTTAGTTCAGCATTGATGGTGTTGAAAACCGTGAGATAATGTCACTGTAATCAAAAGGCACTGAGAATATCACCAGAACAAAAAACAATCGAAATTACATATGCAGTGCACGATATGGTGCTTTCCATTGTTTATTTATGTGGAATAGCTCCGTGCTATTAGATCTTAGCTTTCTCAGTCTGTGGTAGTTTAAATAAAATAACACGAGCCTGTGGTAACTTGTTTGCAGCTTGATAAGCTGTAGTTGACTGCAAACGTGTAGAATACTCAGTATTGCGGAATACGATTACTCACAACTTCCATGTTGATGTTTTTATTTTAGAATAAGATTTTGTTACGAAGAGTGATGACTTTATGCAATTACCTATTCTGTCGCACTAGTACGCTTGCTCACTATGACCGCATTCGATATATACTTGGTTTGCCAGATACACTCGAGCTGAAATGTGGAGAATCTCAACTCTTTCTTGCTACTGAATGCATAAAAATATAAAACTACGTAACGAACTTGTAGTGCTTACATCCCCATAACGGGATTAGCAGCCATAGTATATTTACAATCCATCCCAATGACCAACTCAATTGACGTATTGTTGACGTGTGGGATAAATCTATGGCAATATTTTGCTTTATTTTAAAATTAGCATAATGTGTTGTAAATGAGTTTATTTAACTAGTTGTCACAACTTTTGAATGAACTTCAGTTCAATTTTTTTCTACAGTGTTTCCGTCGGAAGTAAATATTAATTGTAACTGTTTTCGTAACAGAAATACAGAATATTTTATGTTTCTCCGTGATAAAATGAATGCACGTCATGGTACTTTCCACTGTTTATGCTTTTACCTAAAAAGCATTCCGTTTAACTCTAAGGATTTTGATGACCATGAGAGATAATGTCACTGCAATCAGAAGGCACTCAGAATACGCCCGAAAAAAATCGAAAATAAATATGCAGCTTATGTATGCACGATATGGTGCTTTCCTTTGTTTATTCTTGTGGACGCTTTCCTTGATATTAGAGCTTAGCTTTCTCAGTCTGTGGTAAGTTCAAATAAACTAACACGAGCCTGTGGTAAACTTGTTTGAAGCTTGATAAGCTGTAGTTGACCACAAACGTGCAGAATGCTCAGTATTGCAGCATACGATTACTGACAACTTCCATGTGATTCAGTGTTGATGTTTTCATTTTAGAATAGAAGATGATTATAAAAAGAGACGACTTTATGCGATTGCTCAATCTGTCACAATAGTAAATTTGCTTACTATGGCCCCATTCGTTATATACTCGATTTCGCCAGATTTAATCGAGCTGAAGCGTCAAGAATTCCAACTCCTTCTTGCCACTGCACACATGACAACATAAAACTACGTAACGAACTTGCAGTTCTTACATCCCCATACCGGGATTAGCAGCCATAGTATATTTACAATCCATCCCAATGCTAACTCATTTGACGTATTGCTGACGTGTGTGATAAATCTATGACAACATTTTGCTTTATTTCAAATTCAGCAATACGTCAAATGTTGTAAATAAGTTTGTTTTACTAGTTTTCGAAACTTTCAGAAAATTTACTACAAAGTGAGCTGTGCAGTGATCGTTTAGAACTTTAGACTCTAGTCTAGAGTCTAACTAAAGTTACTAAACGATCACTGCTTAGAGCAAGGCTGCCCAACCCGGCCAGCGAGCCGCGTGTAACCCGTCAGGCTGTTTACTGCGATTCGCTATATAACGAGTTTATAAGAAAACATTTTGAATTTGTAGTATTTACTATTTAATATATGCTCTTTCGTGATTTTGGTTTGATGGTTCCGGTCATCAACATCCAAATGTCCCTTCTCCTTATTAAGCATGTATCAAGTCTTACGCTCTTGTTGACATCGATACTTATATTTTTTTTATTTCTTGCAGGACTGTGGGTCCTGTTCAGCAAACTTTAAAGCTACTGTGCGATCATTAGTGACGAGACGCCGATAAAAAAAAGAAAAAGGGAGTTGCAATTTACAACCCACGTTTTCGAATTAATTATATTCGGATTATTATATTTCTTGTCGGCTTTGATCGCTTTATCGCCGTTATACAATAAAAAATAATATATTTACTACTGGCTCTGGGATTCGTTGTCTTTTTTCTGTCCGTATTTTCCTATCCTGTCTATGTTTGTTTTTGCGTTAAATGAATCTTCTGATTGAGCGCGTTCAGGTCACGTGTTACAAGATAGTCGAATAGTAAGCCGCTATTGTAATATTCGATTATTATGCCCAGCCCTACTCAGTAACCACTAACTATTGGCTGATGATTTTTACGTAAACAAACTTACTTTTTAGGTATTATGTAAATTCTCACGTAAATCAGAACTGGTGTATACTTAGTTTAATAAAATCGTTTGCCGCCCGCAATGTATTTCTCCATGTGAAAGGGGCCGCGACACCAAAAAGGTTGTGCAGGCTCGGTTTAGACTTAGAGAGAAGTTCTTTGTGTTGCGTTATATCATTTCAACAGAATAAATAAAATGCGATTTTTAGTTAACGTATATGTGATGCCCAGAACCAATCGATTTTCATAATTGCATATTATAAAATTTCCCATAAGAATAGTACTACTTGTGCAGTTTCTTCATATTTTTAAACACCCTTTGTCGATTGCGGGCCAAAATTAGGGATTACAAATCTTGGCGGGCGGCACATGTTTTTTTGTGAAAGTTGAAAACCGAACGCGTGGCTGATGAATCACATTTGTTACACAGATCAGGAGTTGAAATTTTAGATTTTAAATAACGAGCACTGCGACCACTCGTGGACTCATTAGTAAGTCACATTACTAGACAAAAAAATTACAAATGGCAATTAATGTGACACTTGTTGTCACATTACGCTTGCTATCTGTTCCACATCAGGCGACACACTGGATGAAGCAAAGATTAGAGCATTTTCTAAATGGACATCACTAATTTTAGTTCTCGATCCATAGGTCCACTCCGTGTCCAACAATCCTACTCCAGCATAGATTATAAAATTAAATTATGGCTAAAATTCGCACCCGCCGTTTTGTCGGAAATTTCAGTGAAGCATCGCGGACCGGATCATTTTACTCCGCGCGCCAGATTATTGTGCATATGGCGCCAACACGTGACATTACGTCACATTAGTCCGCCATTTTTTGTAATACTCTGTGCTCAGCTGATGCTTTACCGGTACCGATACCGAAGTGAATTAATACGCTCGATTTGTAATTTGAATGGACAGATAAATTTATTTATTTTGATATGATGGCAGGTAAGAACCAAACACTCTGCTACAATATGACACTAGACTGTACTACCTGCGTCTGTTCCGTCTTAGTTGAGAAAGTCTGTAGACCCAGACTGCAGCAAGCGCGTCATCGCACAGTACTGCCTGGGTTTCAGCGACCTGCTCTCGGTTACCTGTATATTTCAAGTACAGCTGTCTCACCTTGGTTTGGCACGGGTCTGCGGTTACAGGTGAGATAGTTGCTTCTGCTTGGTGTAAACAACAACATCTTAATATTTCGAATGACAACTAGCGCCAAACGTAAATTTCTTTTCTTCAAAAGCATTCTGATAATGTTTCTTCAGAATTGCAGCATCGACACGACTTCTGGGAAACTAGTACTCCCGTAGTGTATGTACCAGGTTAGGATTAGGCCATGATTTTATTCACATTTTTCTTATTTTCGTTCTATTACGAGTTCGGGGACTGTCTGTGTTAGCCAAGTGAATATGCTCCCTGCCCATAGGATTCAGTCTACGTACACTTCTAGAGCGCCGGGAAACTATCGCAGCAAACAGCTGCTTACAAACAGGCTAAACGTTGAACACATACCGCAGGGCAACTAAGGCCAGATGTGATAGTAATAGATCGCCAATGTCGTTTCACGTGTGGTCACATCTGTGTATCTACCGTTGGACTTACCCCTAATTAACGGGTAAACAAATCAACCCCAACCGAAGCGCCGGGCGAAACTTATTGTTACGACAGTAGGTACGAAGTGGAATTGTGAATCGTTTTGCTAAATCGCTGTTGTTTTTATACGTTTTGTTGTTATTGGCGTGATTGTTGTTTTTGAGAAAATAAGCTTTTCTCCTAGACAAGTGGTTCCCATATAATGGGACGCGCCCAACTAGGGGGACGTAGACAATTTTTTGAGGAAACGTGAAGGTAATTAAAAATAAAAATATTTTTAGATTTGATTTTGCCCGCCTTATTTCGGATATTAATATTTCTTTAGTTTGGATATTTACGTTTCATCCTCGTATTTTCAACGTGTTTTTTAATAAAACATACTTTTGCCTTACTATCTGTTATTTGTAATTTATTGTCAGCTAGTTATTTTTTATGTGGAACGCGAGACTCGACAAATCCTAAAAAGGGGGCGCAGCTTAAAAGTTTAAGAACCCCTTTTCTAGACTTATAGAACAATTGATTTTCTTTTTTCGGTACTCCGAAATCGAAGAAAAATATAGCTTTTATATTTATTGCTGTTTTTTGATTAAAAAAAAAATTTCATTTCGTCGTGTTCAACCGTCTCCGCTACACTTGTTCCCCAATATTTTCAGCTCATTGTGCTCAGGCCATGCTATATCGGTATATGTTTGCTACCTTCGTGTCTTCATATTTGGGAATTAATTTCTTGCTTTTCTAATTTTTAGCGTTAGGCTATATTTTACTTATAAAAGTAGATGGGCTTGAAGAGATACTGCTAGTGCTAAGCTTTTAAGATTGCTACAGAAGTCGATAAAAGGTTTACTGAAAAGGCTTTATCCGACAGGTGAGATTATATTTTCTGTCATAATTTTAATAAAACGATTATGACTTGCTATAACCTATGATTTGTGGGAATATATTTTTGCAAATTTCATTTTGAATATTTTTTCAAAAACGTTGCAAAATATACTTTATTTTTGTATCAAACAAACTGAAATGCAGTTAGTATCACTTGGTTTATTTGAAGGATTGCTTCTTGTCGGTAACTAGACATTTCATGCTGTGTCTGTATGGTAATTTGTAAAATAGAGAGGCAGTGCATGTACTATCCATGCATATACCGGTATATATAATCTTGGTACGTTTGACAGCAAATGGCTTGAAATGCTGAGGTTCTCAATAGTTGCAACGTAAAACCCCCTGATGACTGATAAAGTAATTTACAGCTGGTGACTGAAAACTGGTATAAAATGGATTTTGTGGTAGATATTAACAATTTTTCGAAATTGTTATATTTATTATTGCTAGGCCTCGCACAACCTTACCGACAAAGTCACAATCAACGGAAAATATGAAATTCTGCTTAATATGTTAGGCAAAAACCCATTTGACGATTTAAATAAGATAATATATCTAACTGATACAGTTTCAGCGTGAAACAAAAATAACAATGTTTATTGCTGCAAAGATAAATTTATTTTCAGCGTATAATTTTGACACTTTATCTGCGTTCGTCTGGTATTTAATTTATGACTCCGTGTTCAATCTATCTCGACAATGAGCGGTGAGGCACATATGCATCCATCAGGAATCTGTGATAAGAAAATATTATTTTGAGTTATATATCACTAAAATTAATCAATTCATAATGAGTTTGCAAAAATATTACGTTTTTTCAGATATTTGCTCACAGGTGACTTACGTAACATTTGAGCAGTGTCAATGTTCTAATGGCGTCAAAAGTGTCAAAATGTGTTTGAGCCATTAATGGACATTTATATTTGTTACGAAATCTGCATCGAAAGGATGACATTCACAAGGCTTGTATACTTAACAAGACTTACATTGACTTGAACCAAAGTTCTAATAGATTTCCATCTTCCTTTAATTTTCTTTGCGACATACAAGAATTTAAAGATTTTTTTCCCCATATGTTGACATCTACACGAGAATAAAAACTTGGCGTCGCATTTATCCAGATAGTCCCTGTAAATATTTTTATTCATGTAATTTGAAAATTAATTTGATTACATATAATTTAAATACATTCTATTAAGTAGCACTCTTTCGTATCTTATCAAATGTTTGTACGAATAATATACTCAAAATACAGTTTGGCCCATACTAAGTTCCAAGTTGCCAATTCATGGATCAGTCTCTTCAATCAGTTACATATGTGTGTAATATAACAATACATGGATTTAACCTACCGACATTCAACAACTTTTATCTTTTCCGTCCTTGCAATTTTGACCTCCTTCTTTTTTCCATTTTTGTAAATGTATCCCTTCGTTATTGTAAAGATGCAAGTTCTCGGAAAACATTTAGACTTTTTCTCCTCGCTACAAAGTTCAGGATTTTTCCATCTGAACCAAAATTTATATTACAAATATAAAATTTTCATAAATATTAGAAAGACAAAATATTAGGTGCCAATATTTTTGACAGTGAACTTTATACTCACGGTGGAATTTTAAGTTTGCACGGCGGAGGAACAGGCAGAGACAGGTCTTTGGGTCCTATAGGCGGCCAAGCCCAACCCGCAGTCACACAAGCAAGTACAATACAAAAAACTGCAACTTCCATTCTAACGCAGCAAATTTAGCAACTGACGATTTCGATAGTCATAACCCTGATTATATAAATTCTCAAAAAAACACAGAAACCTATTTTCGTCATGATTGTTAAAGGCTGAAAGACGATTTCAAGAACATCTTTATAACACTAGTACTTGTTACAGATGAAGCGGTATGATAAGTAGAATTAGTGAAAGAATGGGAATTTCCAATGTTTACGATAATTGTTGCTGACATGCGATAATACTGCAAAGTTCATTTGATCGGAAAAATATATTCCGGAATCTTTGCTTGCGGCATTGCTGTTGACGCATGCTAAATTGAAACTAAAACAAATGCCACGCGGTTTCGATTTTAATAATTGTAGTTAAATGTTTATTTCACTCCAGTATACGGCACACATTTATTTTATTATCTAGAATCTTGATAATGGTCCAGCAAAGCTGAGTCCCCCTGGGTATTGGTATAAACGAGAACAGTACTTTGGTAAATTATCCATATTACCCGTATTCAAATACAGAAAAACTTCAAATCATAGCCACGTGTATTACATTCATTCAACTTATTTTGTCACGATGATATTCCCGTTAGTGAGTGGTGGGATTCGAAATTTTGAAAACAGGTTTTTCTTTGTAAAACTCGCTATCAACAGATTTCAGAACAGGGACAAAGCAAAAGAACAAGTACCGGTTCGCTGATCCAAGGACTGCTTTGCGCGGACCCAAAATCCCACTAATACAGTTATTTTTTTATAGCCGATATCGTTCCACCATTTTTTCTTTAGTCTTGCCATTTTAACTAGACAACGAATAAAAATCGCGTAGCACAATAAGATCATTTTTTTGGGCATTTTAAGATTTCCTGAAACCGTGACCATTATTTAAATAAAGATGATGCTTGCTATATTTCCTGTACTGCTAAAATATGCAATATATATCCAGAAGTACAAGTAAGTTTCTATTGATTAGCATCAAACAAAATATGTCTTTTTATACAACTCATGCGTTATTTTTACCTAAAAATATATGCTCAGTCTAAATAAATTCCTGATTTTTAATTTCCTTGTATTTTTGACAAAGCAAATGCAGACAAAATCTTATTTATACTCCTAAAACTGTATTTATTTCTGCCACCTTTGCCACATTGCTTGTATACACAGATCGTTATGTGTCATTACAAAATGATAAAAAGTTCACAAATAGACATTATTTCTGAAATTCACAGTTTATGGCCAATTTCATAATAAAACTTATCCTAGCATATTATGAATTTTAAATAAGCTATCAGCTACATCAAGAAATTTTTCTTATCATGGTATATTAATTATGTTATAGTAAGTCAATCAACTTTAGGAAACTCGAGGGAAATATTCTAGTGGCCAATAAGAATACGCCAAAATGCATTTGTGACGACGCTGTAATAGAAAACTGTGAACAACTTGTCAAACAGTTTATTATCAAATGATGCCTTTAGGTATGTCGTCATTTAATTTGAAACCCACGTCTTCGGCTCGGGATTAGGGAAGATTATCTCTTCACATATGAATTTCCGTAAGCTAAGTTTGGGTATTTAAAAAAATAAACGAAGAAACCCCATTGCGCATAATCACCCTAGGCCTAGAGTAAAATGGACTAATTCATTTTCCCCAACCTTCGGGTCGCGACCGAAAACTGGGTTGCTCGTTGTTGTTTTGTTTTTCAATCAAAACATAAAGGTGATTTTATTTTCTAGTGGATTTTATTGTTTATTTCGTATTTGGTATTGAGTAATAATTGTAGATTATTTTGTATTTATAATTTAATTTTGCGGCAATAGAAACCCTAAATGCCTTTTTTTTCACAAAATTTGGTTGGCTTGAAAAAATGGCTGAAAAATACTAGACTTTAGCTGACTTGGCATCACCCCACATTAGCCTAACGCACTAATTACTCTTTCTTAGGTAACGTTTTCTTGAAGAAGAAGTACCCAAGCATTGGATGATTGATTCATTGATGATTTTACATAGAAGAATTTTTTCAGTGCCAGGCTTATTTTTTCAAATTTTTTATATTTTGTTATCTGAGAAACTAGATGCTATATACAGTTATTTACTCTACCAAAAGGCATGTGTCCCATTCATAACTAAACATATTGCCAATTTTAGATGTATTTAAGACGTTTTACCCCCTATATATATTTAATAATTTTGTGAAATCTAAAGTTTCCCTATAGTTTTTTTTTTGTTTTTATTAACAAGTGCACATCTTAGCTTCTAAGTATCCAGGAGAATAGTAATTTTCCAAGTTCGGCAAATTCGATTCTGAGAGGGGGTTGTTTGGGTTGATGATATATTCAGTGGAGAACCCTATTCGTTATTCATGTCCTTCATTTCTACGACATGTTGCATTTATACTTTGGATTCTGTATCTAGTTTTGAATTGTATCTAATTTTCAGCTGTCTGAATAAATCATATAACACGGAAATATCGTCGCAGTCGTGATGTGATAACTTTACTGACATGAACTCCTTCATCATTTCTAATAAAATGGTGCGAAATCGCCCAAATTGAATACTGATCCACATGAATAACATAAATAATAAAATGCATCAATATCAATTTATTTATTGTCAACTTGATAAATCGCTTTTTCCATAATATGATTTAAGATCCGATAAAAAAGATATTATGGTACGAAAGATGCTATGTTTCTCCTTGCACACATACATCCACCCGGGACCTATAAAATAATATTAAAATAAATGAGGGCTAAAATGTAATTGGATAAGCTAGAAAATAGTAATGTGAGTACGGGTTGCTTTGGTAATCACAGTTACATATTAAGTTAGATTACCGGAAAAAATTTGTAAATATTTTTATATCTCGGAATAACTGACAATTGAAATACAGATTAAGAGTCAGAACATAAGTCTCAGATAAAGTATTAAATCTTAGTATTATATATCACATGTATGATAAATGGCTTCTGTTGCAATCGAATTCGGTTTCCTTCGACAGTGATTTATTACACGACGAAGTATTTATTCATGATACAGTGAATAGCCATTTTTAAGACCAATGTTGCAAGCAAACTCTATTTTGAAAACAGAAGCCATTAAAATATCTGTCAGGATAATTTTAATCAAGCTTGTCAGGCTTTTTCCGTTTCATTAACTTACTAGCGCTTCAACTTTTTTGAGAGCAGAAATATGAAAGTTGTTCTTTTTCCAAAGTACCCAAGCCTTTATCTTAACCCACTCTCCCTTGTGCTGGCATGTGCAATATTTTTTTCCAGGACTGCATATTTTGCCATATTTTCTGAAAATAAAATTAGATTAATACGACTTAACTTTTTGCGAGTGTAACGAATTTGTGTGATGTGAAATTATACTTTAAATATGTAACGTAAATTTTTCAGCTGTCTTACTAAAATTGTAACAGCGAAAAATATTTAGTAACATGCAACTTATAAAATTACATTTAACAGATATTTTACATACTTGCATTCCCGAGATAAGTGTGTTACTGGAAGAGACAGTTTCACGTAATGTTTCACGCCTTTTTCTCTTACAATCCCTTTCTTAATTGTAAATAAACATGGTTTCGGAGGCAAACATCTGTGTTCCCAATAGACATGCATGGGACAGGTATCCGGATTGTTTAATCTAAAATAATTTATATAAAATATTTAGAAAAATGTAAAATGAATAAAAAATATTTAAATGACAGGACATCTTGTTTAAACTATTTTTAAACGACCTTTCTATATATAAATGAGCTCGTATTAATGACAATTTGACTTACATTAAAACGAATATGGGTGAATTAGATTACCAAGAAAGTATAATTACATTATTATAAAATGAAAACACGCTGAAAAATATAAGCAATGGCAGTTCACTTACGGTGGTCTTTTAAGTTGGCATTCTGGTGGTGGTGGTGGCGCTTTATCCCGTCTTGGTGGACCTCCCGCTGAGCAGAAGGCCGCGCCAACACACAGCCAGACAAGAAAATGAATAAACCGTTTCATTTCATCGGCAGCTCAAAAGCAAAATGGTGATATTTACCTCAGAAGCTTTATAAATAGGATTTGCCATAAGCGTTTTTTAATTGTTAATAAAATATGGTAGCCAACTTTTACGTAGAAAATTGAGTAAACCGCAATCTGAAAATTTAATCTCCTTTAAGAACGATTTGGGAATTTCCATTGTTTACAATTCGTGTACAATCGAAAGTATTGTCAATCTATATTAATGCTGTAAAGTCAAGATTGTTATTTTAAAAGATGACTGATAATGGAGCCACACCTACATCACACCCTCGGGTTGAGCACACGTAAAAATTCTTGTGCTGCAGTTACAGATAGTTTTGGCAGATAGTTTTTACTATTTTTATTTGGCTCATTTTGCTATATATATAAATATATAAGAATAATTCAAAAATGCAGTATTACTTTATACTTAAGTATAATAATCATATTATCCACAAAGCAACCTACCTTGATTTTAGTGATCGGTATAATTCGTTTCTCTCCTTGCGCTGTCGCTTTTTTACACAATTCCAAATCTTTTCCAAAAATTCAGATCCTTTTTTCCACTATTTCATCTCGTTCTTCCAGAGATCGTTTGGATTATTAGAAAATAGAAAATAAATACCCTCAAAATATCAAAAAGTTCAATTTATCATGCATTTTTAACATATTTATTGATAAAATCATATCTAAAATTTATTCCTTATGTAAGGAATGCAATTATCTGTGTAACTATTAACACCTCGTCAATAAGTTTTGATTCAAATGACGAATACGTTAATAATCTTTTTGAAACGCATACTTGGCATTATCAGGTATAAAACTGTGTTTTGTAAACTGCGAACGCCTAACAATGCGAGGTATTCTGAACAAACACCAATAAAATTAATTTAAGTACTCAAGATGGCGCTGTTTTCCTATCAACATAAAATATATTTTGCGTGGAGTATTGCAAGACTGTGCGCAAAATGCAAATATAAATATGATTGTTTCAAATCTAGATTTCTTTTTGCAAAATCTTTCCACTGGAAAAAATATGGATTGTCTAAACTTTTTCACAGACATTGAACCAGACTTTCTTGGTCTGATTTTCGTAGAAGTGACACTTTGTCAACACTGTATGGCATTTTTTTTCCAATTTGCGTTTTGCTGAAGAATCTTCTGTCTGCTTGTTTCCCTGGCTGATTTAACTTGATTTGTTCAAATTTCTGTAAAAGAGTATAATTTTCACATCATTTTACGCATTCACATTTTTTTAGTATTTATTTCAGAAGTGAATATCCGAACAAGGAGAAAAAAAAAAGATTTTAGTTTGAATGAAAACCCAACAAAAAATCACAAAGGAATATAAACAAATTTGGCATTTAGGTGGGGTCGAGAAGTTGATATCTAGAGACTAGCAATATGTTATCACACAATAATGAACAAAGATGAACAGAAGTATCAAATTCTGGAAAAAATATTGAATTTTAAAAATTTTAGCCATTTTTATAGTTTTGTTTTCCTTGTCGATCGATGACAAAAAAATTCGTTTACCATTTCTCTGAATTGCGACCCACCCGTGACTATATTTTTTTATTCGAATGTAAACGGCTTTGAATTACGTAAAAATATTAAAAACCCTTCGAGAAAAGTACCAAAACATGTATTAAAAACACTCTCACTAAATAACGTGCACAATTTGTTTATTGAATGCAACATTTTAGTATAAAAACATATCAAAAATAAAATATAAATGATAATATACTTGATGAGTTGATTGCGTATTGTAATATTAAATGGTACATGTTATTTTTAAAACGCCGATAAACGGCCTATTGCCTGTAGTTTATTTTTAAACATAATTTGTTTGAATTTATCATGACCAACAATACTATGTTCTACATTCATTTTATATTTCTTAATTTTTACAATTTTAACAAATATAAAATTAATAAAATATAAATTGTTTCACGATTTTCGTAGTAAGACTTTCAACAAATATGAAACTTGTCACATATAGTTTCATTACCACATGATTTCTGATGTTTTCCAATTTTTATCTAAATCGTGACGAAAAAAAGGATTTTCGTAAAAAATTATCGTGTTAAAACACTCTCTTTTTTACTCTGTATTTATTTTTACAGTATGTTGCTATATGTGGCACATAAGTATCAAGATAATAATAATTATTCAAATATCGCGTGCGCGTTGTGTCATGTTATCATTCACGTTCGTGACAATAGAAAATTTCGAATGGAACTTGAGAAAATGTAAAATGCTAATATACTCGAAAAAAAATTTCAAATTTTTTGAACGAATGTAGACAGACATAGCTAGTTCTCAGTTTGAACTTTCGTTAATTATTTACAATTCTTTTTTTATCGAATAGTATACAAACTAGCCTCGTCTATGTAAAATAGTTGTTTCCAAAACACATTTTGCTGCTTGCTCCATTCGTATTTTTGTATTTTTAAAATTTTAATAGGAAAAATACTTTCCATAAATGTTAGAAGAGTGATATAAAAAAAAATACATTTATGTCATGTAATAGATTCATTTTATTGATTTTAAAAGTGCCTTTATTTTTATGTCTATAGGAACTCATCATAATCTTACATAATATTACTTCTTGGCATTGGTAAATTTGATAATAAAAATTAATTTATTCCAAATGCATTTCAAAAATTACAAATTTACTGATAGTTTCATGTACTTTATCTCAAATTTGTTACACACTAAAAGTTTGAACCTTTTTCAGTTATAGATCATTTTTTTGAACAACAAGGCCAAAATCTAACCAGGAGACTGAGATAGGGGCTATTGATAAATATACCCAACTCATCAATAAAAACCAAATGAAAAAATTTACTTGCAAAAAATGTTACTTGTTTCAATTCAGAAAGTCTGAAATTAATATTATAATTACCTTTATTCTTATTTCAATAACATCGGTAATTTTGGAACAATTGCGTCAATTTTATTGCGACATATTCCACATTACTTTCAGCAAAAAAAAAACAAATACTTAGTATCTAAATGAAGTATGAGTTTACTCATCTTTTATATTCTTATCTGAAAAGTCCGGAAGTCTAACAAATTTTTAAAAAAAATTTGCAATCACATGACAAGTCTCATCTATCTCATAATATTCTTGGGCAATTGTAATTTGCATAGGAAATTCTAAACCGCAAATAACCGCAGGCAATAGATTTGTCCAATGCGTTTTGTACGTCATTTAATATTAGAGATTAGGGCTCCCGATCGTGGAATTATTACAAGAACATGGTACTTTCCAATTCCCAAATCATGTCAAACAGGAAAGCCACTAATATTTAAAAACTAAAAACAAATGTTCTTCTTGAAGGTTCACTTATATTAATACATTTTTGAGATTACTGCTACACTCATGCATTTTTTTCTATGTAATAAAAATCGTCACTAAAAAAGTGCAAAAGTTTATAAATGGCTTGAAAACTTTCAAGCGTTTTGTTTTGATTCCATTCAACAGGGCCAATAATTATTTTCTAGGGGCAATAAACAACAAAGCCACATTGAACTACCATGTGTCAATTGTTTATTAATAAAAAGTTTCTATTTTTATTAAAGACTGTTCTACAAATTCCCCCGACAAAAAAATATTAAACTTACAATACTAAATTTTCACACAACTGTATATTATTTATTTAATTTGTTGGTGGTGGTTTATTTAAGAAAACAAGAAACGAACAGAGAAAATATATGCATTTATGTAATATTGTTTGCGTGTGAATGGTTGTATGTATGAATCTTTGTTGGAATCTTGTTATTAAATGATCTGTACTTTCGCGACCGAATTCCATGCATTGTTTCACGGTGTCGAAGTTTTTAATCATGTAACCCGATATTGAATCTCTAAAGTTTTTTTTTTCTTTTAGTTGCCTTCAAGCTTCGCGCACTACTTTAGAATCATTTCAGCGTTTTTTTGTATAATTCGAGAAAATTTTTTCTACTAATTGATACGAGTTATTTATTTGTTTTACATTTTTCTTGTCCGTCGACTTAAGAAATGCAAGTAGTGATTTATTTTTAAATTTTATATTTTTGTTGAAATCATTGCTGAATTAGTATATTTGTACGTTAAGGCGTTTATTTATGTGTTTTCACAATTAACATGTTGAACAAAACATTAACTTCATAAAAGATAAATTAAATACCGATTTAGCCAAGTTTATGTGATGAAATCCTATTTCTAAAATACTCGTTTCTACCATATAATGAGATATAGACTATGAGAACTAAAATTGTATTGTTTTCACAATTTGCTACTAAAAGAGTCAATAACTTTAAAAAATATTCTAAATAATAATGAGAAAACGCGAGACGTTTTAAGGAATTACTATTTATTGATAGTTCTTGTTGAAGTAATTTAAAAATGGTTCTTAGATACCAGCATATAGTATTCATTAAATTTGTCAGTGTGTTTAAACATTGTTCTATAAGATGGATTTGAGTTTCATTACATCATATTCTACAGATACATATTGGAGTACAATACTTTAAGATCGGTGGGCGTAAACTTCGTGCAAATACTAAATCAATTGCATGTTCAACCAATAATTTTTCGCAAAATGTAACGTACTTCTAGGAAACATTCAAAGTGTCACGTTTAGTTTATAGGAATCGGGCAGCACGGAAATATATTTCAAACGAGAATACAAATATATGATATAATTTTATCTCAAAAGTCAACTTCGCTTTTTGGTTTTCTGTTAAAGCGAATTGACCTATAGAGGTCTTGACCCGATAGCCATTTAATTTCAAGAATTGGTAATAGAGAAATATATAGGGACTAGCCCCAGCTCTAACATTTCAGCAATTGATTGTTTAGTCAAATTTATCGCAATGCTATCAAATAGTCTTCGTCATTTGTGAAAAGTCTGCATCTAAACAACCCGTTTTATCAAACTATTCATACTGGAAAAAACGACAAAATATTTTACCACAACATAAATTTTATTTCTTTTTTCAAAATAATTTTTATACGA